ATATATATATATATATATATATATATATATATATATATATTTAGTTATTTGTATGTACACGCAAGTGTGTATTTCTAGGTTTGAAAAAAATCAATTCCTCCCTTTTTCCAACACAGACAATTAATTATTTACAGGTGAAAAATTTATGTTAAAAATACAAATCATAAAAAGATCCATTCTCCTAAATATCCACAAAAATTTTAGTGTTAATTTAACACAATATACGGATATGTTAAATATGTTAAATATTGTGACACATAATAATAATAATAATAAATAGTGTGTTACAATATTTTAACATAGAATAAATTCAAGCTTCAAGTAAACTTAAAATCAATTTTTTGTAAAATTGATATAGAGTTTTAATGTAAAAATTAACTAAAAAATGTTAATTTTACTTTTTTTCAGCTCTTATATTGTAAAATAAAATCAAAATATGTTTTCAAAATTTTAACAGATAAATCTTGTCACTAATAATACGAAACGTTTTTATTGTTAAAATTAAAAATAGATACACATTGTATTATATTCACATTTTTTTCACAGTTGTTATAATAATTTAACAATTAAATTCAATTAACAACAACAGCAATAATAAGTTAAATTAACACATAAATATGTTAAATATTTAATACAAAAAATTTAACGGGGACCGTGTTTAATAAAACAACACATTTTTCAACTGTGTTAGATAGGCTTTCTCAATATAATAACATCCTTATTAATATTCGTAATTCATGAGATAATTTCTGGGTAATATTAAATTCGAAATGTTCAAGATAAAGACAGAGATAGAAAAAAGGTGTATAATTAAGATAAAATAATCTTAATATACCACTCATATCTATAACATACAATTAAAATTATAATAGTTGCGCATTTTTTTAGTTAACAAAATACTTATTTTTAATAAATATAAAATAATAATAAAAGCAAACACAGATAGATACTTTAAGTCTCTATTGAATCATTTTTTATCAGCAAATGACTCGCTGATAATATGCCTTGCATATAATTAATCGAAATTATTTAACGAAAAAGAAATAAAGGTCAAAGATAAATGTCAGAGATCATTGAAAGAAATATATGTATATCGCGATTCATGTACAGGCTTTCTGTTTCTATGATTTATTTTTTTATAATTTAATCAATTAAAAATCTTGCGTGTAACAAATTGAATTAAATGATTATGAGATGCTTGGATTTCTATTTTATTTAGGTGTACTTTGCATTTTTTTTCCTTTGAAAAAGAAATATATAATATAAATATTAATATAATAAATTAGTAAAAATTATAACGCTCTTATATATCGAAATAAATTGTAAAATTAATGTAAGTACAGGCCAACTTAAGAGCATAAATAATTAGGATGTTAATGAATATTATAAATTTTTATTGTTTCCCAATTATACCATATAAAAAAACATTAAAACATATTAATACAATTAAATCACAAACGTTTCGACTGTACGCTGTCTTCATCAGTGGAGTCATATAATATTAGTCAATTATAAAATTGAAAAAACATTTCGACAATGCTAACGATTGCAATTTTTACTGTTAATTATCATCATATATAAAATAACTTGGGTGATGCGAACGATTACAACTTTTGATGATGTGTAGCATGTACGATTTTGAGGCTGGATACATCACTATATTGTTCTTGGATCATTTCAAGATGTTAATGCGGATTATTTCCAATGCTAATTTTAAAGGTGAGAAAACTCTTGACATTTCATCGTTCGAAAGCGTGGAATTGTCTTAGTTTCCCTTAATTGTTATACGTTTCTATATAAAATGACACACTTTTTAATGACTACTGTTAGGAAAAATTTTTTTGAATATTACAATAAAAATTGCTTACTATTGAATCTGTTAAATAGATGACTTTATAAATATTCACGCCACAACTCAGTTACTTATTACTTTACACGCCATTCAAAACACCACGGAGTAAAGTGTAGAGCCTAAAATGAACTCAATCACATATAAAAATTGGGAAAGATTGAATTTTGTATTGGTTGAAATATCCATCCAACGTTTTTTTACGCTGCTAATTACTAACTCTTTCGGGATATTCGTAAATAATGAGGTAACATCTAATGATATTAGTACTTCATCATCAATAATTACCTTGTTCTTAATATTCTCGACAAAGGACCAACCATCTTTAACAAACGATCTCGGTTTCTTAATAGAATTAGTAAGTATATTATGGATGTAGTTCGACAGATTATATAACGGGTTACATAATGAAGATACTATAATTCGCAATGGACAATCAATTTTGGGGATTTTCGACAACCCGTAACATCGTGGTAAATTCCCGTTAGTTACGTTTAAATAATTATAAGTAGTCATGTCTATCAATTCATTATCGAGCCAAGACTTAATAAGAGAATTGCATTTTGTTAGTTAACTTTTTAACAGGATTTTTATTAATTTTTCTATAAGTCAATTCGTCATTTAATAAAGCTTCCATTTTTTCCATGTAGTCGATTTTATTAAGAATCACCGTCGTTTGTCCTTTGTCAGCCTTAGTAACAATAATATCGTCGTTATCCTTCAGAAATTTTTTGACTCAGAGAAACATCTGACGATACATTTATCTATACAATTAGTATGCTTTTGTGTGATTAAAAAATTCCGGATAGAATTAGGTACCGAAATCCCAGTTGTTTCACGTAAGTTAGAAGGAATCTTGTCAATACTCACCTCTAGACTTTTAACTATCTCAAGTGCGGTACTAACACGATCCCTCTCAACACCTTGTTGTATTGGTAAACCGAAACTATCGCCAAGGCTTAATAAGTCAAATACATTATCTGGTATTATAATACTTTATTACTGAGATTAACAATCCACTTAGATTTGTCAATATTAATGAAAGGATTCACGACTACATTATATTTACGTAGCAATGCATTGAATTTGTTAATTAATTTGTTCTTTGTCATATTTTTAAAAACCAAAATTCTATCTCTATTAAGTTCTATAAAATTTGTAAATAACTGTCGAGGTAGTCAAAAAGTCTACGCTCGATATATGCTATTTTCTTATGTAAATATTTCAAGTGAACATTAATGTCCTTTATCTCGAGTCTCAATAATCTAAATTTATAATGTTTAAAATTACACTCAAACCTTCGACAAAAATGGCCGCTATATAAACTTATTCCGTTTCTCAAATTATCGATGTGTGGTGGTAGAATGTCATACGTCCTGCATCGTAGTAAAAATATTAGCTGCTGGTTGCAAATAACAATCCTCTTTTTTGTATTAATCCAAGATTTTAAGAGGGTCGTGTAGTAGTTAACATACCGTGTGGAAATTATATAAAAAAAACCAACGTTTGGGACAAACTCCATAATTAGGTCCAGAAGTGCCTCGGGGTCCAAAACCCTGTTGTTCTACAGATACGTGGATGATATTTTCACAATTATCTCATGTGGGAGTGTTGATGAAATTTTGTCGGTTTTTAATGATTACCATCCTAGATTAAAATTTACTCACGAAATTGAAAGTAACGACTCGATTAATTTTTTGAACACTACTGTGATGAGAAAGAATGGTATTCTACTAACTAATTGGTTTATGAAACCCACTTGTTCGGGTAGATATATCAATTATTATTCAAACCATCCCTTTAAATACAAAAAGAATACCATTTTTAGTCTGGTCGATCATGCGATTTTATTATCGGACGACAGTTTTCATCCAGCAAACATCGCTAGGGTTAAATCGATACTGATAAACAATGGTTTTCCGTCGAATGTGGTTAATAAGTATGTAAAAAATAGGCTAAAATTACTTGAGACACGAAAAATGATGATCGCAATGTTGACAATAATAATTTAGTCAGTGAAAAATTTGACCACATTATAAAATTACCATACGTCAAAGAATTAAGTGAAGACGTTTCGAGATTATTGCAATCTACGGGCATGCAATGCGTTTATTGTATACCAAAAAAATTGAATACACTAATTAAACTTATATTTAATAAAATACTTATATTTAAAAAAAAATTTTTTTTTATTCTTTCTCTAAACTAAAATATGCAAAATAACCGTTCAAATAATAGTCGTATTATTTATGTTAAAAAAATAGATAAAATTTAAAAATGCAAAAATCATGCATTTTTTTTAATACTTTAAATAAGTTGTTATTAATTTTACTTCTACCACTTTGTCCTTAGTTTACTTATTGGTATAGTAATTATCAACACGGTCTATAGTAACTACTGAGACCGAATTTTGAGATGCTTTAATTGATTTTGATGAAGACTAATTTATTGAAAAAAACCGCATTTCCCATTTTATTTAAATGGGAAAATTTTAAGGTAAAGGTATAACTATTAAATAAAATATATATATAAACATATATATATATATATATATATCAGGGTGTGTTCAAAAATTTGTTGTTTATTTTTGCCCGCTGTCCACTAAAGAGTTAACTAATGGAAAGATAATAATTACTCTAATAAACCAATTCTAATTGATTTCATTTAATGATTCCAACTTCCGAGGTCGTTATATATACAGAGTGTCTCAGAACTGTAGGCAAAGTTTTAATGGCAGATTTTTGGTATCATTTGGAGACAATTTTTCATTAATGAAAGAGTTAAGAGAGGTCATCATTTGTAGCATATTCTTAATTTTTGCTATTATGTATCTTTTTCAAATTAACTGAAGAATGTAATTTAGTTAATATTTTATATTAGTTTACAAAAAAACTTTAATTTTTAACTGCTTATAATTTGAAAATATTAGTGTCTCAACAATTTCGCTGAAGAAAAATTGTCTCCAAATCATACCATAAATCTGCCATTAAAAATATTTTCGCCAGTTCTGGCATACCTTGTATATATATATATATATATATATATATATATATATATATATATATATATATAACGACCCTCAAAGTTTTGTTGACCTAACACATATTTATCATGATGACACGTACAGAAAATCAGTCAGTCTTTCGTCGTCTTTTGAACCACATCGACGTAGATACAATAATTCTAATAAAGTGTGTGTAAATAAATATATTCTTCGACCATTGCATACTGCTAAAGCATTAATTTGCTGCAGTAATTTTAAAAATATATAATTTTTTTCAATATAATTTTGCATTTAACATACTGTTTCGAAATATTAGGTAAGTCAAAATAAGTTATAAATATAAAAACATATATTTGTCTTCAAATACAAAAGAATTTAATCATAGAATATAACGGAATTTTAAAAAAGTCTAACAAATAAGCATAAAGAGAATAGTTACATTCGAAAATATCTTTAAATTTTGATTCAGATATAATTTCAAATAATGCCAATATTATAATATTTAATGAATCGTAATGTTGAAATAATCGTGGACTTACAAATGTTTTATAATAAATAAATTGATACTTAAATTTAAAAATGCTATAATTTAAATAACCAATAATAAATATTATAGACACTTTTACCTGGTCTTTCATTATTAGATTATTAAAATTATGTTTTCTACAATTTGTCGTATTTATTTTTATAAACAAATATCTATATGCATATATTATTACTTGATATATTTAATAATTTTTTTTATAGATTTATCCAAGATATCGAATAATGAATTTATTTGTTGTTCAAAATCAACATAATTCTTTTTCTTTGGATGGTGATTATCATATGTGGAAATCTCCTTTACCAGATGACAGTTTATTTAACATTCGCAAATCCATCAGAGGTAACACGTAATATAATAAATTAGTCCGCGTAAATTTTTAATTATTAATATTATAAAAATATGTGTAAAAGTTATAAGATAATTACATTTTTATTTTGATTTTAATAATATATATTACATTTTATAAAGTTACACAAACAATATAGATGTATGTATGTAATTTGCAACTAACAGCTACATAGTTTTTTTCCAAACTAATGTGGTTTTATGCTAAAATATTGATTATTCTCATTATTTTATATACAAAATTATTAAGATATAATCGAGGAAAAATGAATATTTTTTGAGATATATTTACGTTTATGTAAAATAATGTGTTAGAAGTAAAAAATAACCTACAAAATATTCTCTTTATAATTATCTTATCCTTACAACTTATTGTTTCGATAATGAATATTGCGAGAAATCGATTTATAAAAAAATTACGGTAGATCCTTTCAAAAGAATTAAGTGAATACTATTTAACCAAAAACTTGGCCTTTTGCAGTAGTGTTTACTTGTTTAGAAATAATACAACTTTTATATAAAACGTTTTCCTCTAATATAAATTGTTCAAGAAATTATTGTAAGAACATTTTATATTGAAATAGTTTGTGTATATGTATATATATATTCCATATATACGTAAATGTATTGAAATATGATTACCGCAAACTGAATAATTTTGCAGGATATTTTACACTTTGTCAAAAATTGTTCACTTCTAACTTTTATAACTCAAAAATTATTTAATAAAATTGATCTTTTAATGTCTTGCTATCTTCGTCAGATTTAACGAGAAATTCCATTTCACTGTTACGCGATTACTACCTTGTATACATATAAAATTTAATTTCTTTTTATAATCATTATGTTTACATGTAACATTTAAAATAATTAAATATTTATAATATTTCTAATTTATAATTTTGTATAATGTAATTTTTAGCACCCTTTTTACTGCGCATGGTACAACACGCCTTCACCGAAGAATTATTTTGGAAAAGCGTCCGCCCATATATATTTGACAAGTAAGTAATATAATATAGAATATAATTTAAAAAAATTAAATTGTGTAAACCTTAAATAATTTATAATAATGCTAGTTTTGTAAAATGTCCTTTATATTTAGCTTCTGACATTATTTCATATTTTTTTTAATTTTACAAGTTTTAAGTTTTTCTTTATTTTTCTAGCTCCTGTATTAGATTTATATTTAATTTCATTACTTTTACTACAAAACTGCTTTTGCAGAAAGAAACTGTTGTTTTATCGTTGTGTTTGTCACGTTTTCATTTACATATCCATTGTTGTTCCTTTTATTTTTGTTTCCTGATTTGTTATTTTTTAAAATAATATTTATAATTTATTTTTATTTTTGTTTTACTATTTCTTTTATGTTATATATCGTCTATAATTCTTATAATTTCTTCTCTTATAATTGCATTTTGTGCTACATTTGTTTTTTAATCTTTTTATTTAATAAATGTTTAAATATATAAAACTTATATTTTTTTCCATTACTTCTTTATCTTTATTTTCGATTTTCGTAAATCAATGTTTTTAATATTATTTGTTTAAATTTTTGTTTTTTTACTTTTAATATGTTTCAAATTTTTTTAACTATTTTATAACTCTCACAATACTTTGCATAAAAATAATCTATTATATATTATGTTAATAATATGTCTAATAAATGCCTAAAAAATTTAATAAAACTATTAAATTTTATTTAAAATTGTTATATTCTCTATAATCATAATATAAATAATAAATATATATAAATATATATATATGTATATATAATTATACAGACAATTTCAACATATTTCTAATGTTCTTTTATATATTTTACATATTGTGTAAATTTAGTCAAAGTTTGCTGCATTTTTTGAAGAAATTGATACTGCTGTAGGAAAAACACATTTTGCAATTCGAATAATAAATAATTGGCAATTAGAAACGCATTGTCCTATCATAAAATAATACGTAATCATAAAGATGATCATAGTTTGCATTTTGTGAGCGAAGTGATTGTATTGATACAGAATACCGACACATTAAAAATTGACTGCCTTCCTGTAACTTTTACTACGGAAGCGTCTCCCAATTTTAACAATTTTACTAATCATATGTTATGCGTGAAAAAGAATTTAAAATTGTCATTAACATTTAATCAGCCTGGTTGGATGATATTCAATGTACAACAAGTTGGTAAGTCGATGATGCATTTTATTTAATAATATTGACCAAAGGACTTATTATGACTTATTTTTCGTTTTTATTTAACACACACATAATTGACATTATTTTATATTATTATCTATTATATTCATTGTTCTATAAAAATCTGAGATTTTCATTATATAACTATGTTAATTCTTAAATATTGTATGTAATAATCTGCATTAACTATATATAATTATATATATATATATATATATATATATATATATATATATAAACTAAGAAGTCACCAGTTGATAATTAAAAATGGTATTAATTTCATCAACCATATCTGGCTATGAATAATATTTATTAAAACTTTACGACGTTTCGACCATGGGTTTCAACTCTTATCAAGTGCTACATAATATCGCCTTATTATAACAAACACTACTTATTTGATCTTAGGTCATGACGTGATGTAATGTCATGATAATGTGTTACGAACTAACTGTTAGTTAATAAATATTACTTATAGCCAGATATGTTTGATGAAATTATTACCATATATAATTATATGTTATACATTGGTGTTTTCTATTATAATATCAATTAATTTTCAAGTTATATGTTTACAAATATTTTATTTTAATTATAATAAAAATTATAAAAAATTAACAATTTTTATAAAATTAGTGAAACAATAATAACAAGTAAAACATACAATTTTCATGAAGTTATATGTTACAGAAATTTTACTGATTTAATAAAAAATAAATATTACATGATTTATGCTCAATTAGAATCAATTTTATTTTATGCTATTTAACAATATCTTGTACAGTTTTATTTTTCATTTGTAATAACTTTTCTACATGTATATGCTTTTTATATACATTAAATTTTTAATACGTTTTCAATATAAATTTATATAAACAAAAGTATGAAACAGACAGTTTTTAAAATAAATACAATATAATGTTATCATAATGTTATAATTATTCAAAACAATAAAAATTGATAACGTTTATTTACTATTCGACAGGATATTACCGAGTGAACTACGATTTCGAGAATTGGCAAAGGATTTCAAATTATCTAAACTCTGAAACTTACACGAAAATTCATGTTCTTAATCGTGCCCAAATTATTGATGATGCATTTCATTTAATGATAGCAGGCCAACTCGATTCATATCTATTCTGGAATATCATAAAGTATCTGCATCGAGAAGAAGATTATATAGCTTGGTATCCTATGTTTAAAGCTTTGGAATACATGTTCGGTACCTTTTCAGCGTTAGACGAACAATTTAACAATGTTAAGGTAAATGTTAACAGATTTCAATGAAAATGTTATATTTTAGTTATTTGCATAACATATATACACATTCATTATAAAAAGTTCAAATACTCAAAAAAATATATACCGCAACGATAAACTTTTACATACTATTAATTATGTCGCAAATAAATGTGCAAATAAATTTAGTTAAATGATCACTCACGTAAAGAACAGGTCCCAAAGTGTTTGATTTTTACAACTGCCAATATTATTAATATATATAACATGTTTTTGGATATGTAGCTGGGTGTTTACAATCTTTGCAAATGATTTATAATTATAAAACTTTCTCACAAATTGAATCTAATTTATGAGAAGAGCCTCAATTGTGTCGCACGGTCCGAGTGTTTATTGAAATAGTTCCGCGAACGCAACATTTTAGGGGATGTAATTTATAGTTCAGCAACATTTGACCACAAATTGCACTTGAGCTAAACGCGGATCTCAAATATATTAATTAACCAGAGAAATAAATATTTAACGATTTTTAGGGAAGAATAAGAGCCATATTATTCGATGTACTTAGAAAAATCCGATACAAAGAAGTTGTTGATCAAGCCTTTCTTAGAAACTGTTTACGATATGAAGCTGCAAGATGGGCATGTTTTTTCGGTGATATCACTTGTAAGACAGAAGCCAACAATATATTAAAACAATATATCATAGATATAAAATTGCGCAGGTAAATATTGTTATAAATTTTTAACCTTTTTTATTCAAATTTTCTTGTAGGTATCGCTTATAATGTTCAAATAATTTAATCAAAAAATCGATATGTTAAGCTTTAATAAGAAAAATTAATTTTTTTATGTTTTAGTCGATTGCTATGGAAGCAGGAATGGATATATTGTAAAGGTTTGATGATAACTACCATAAACGAGACCATTTGGGAATCAGTGTTTGATATAGGAGTGAGTAAATCTGACGCTAAATTTTTGGAATACTTGGCTTGCCCTGAAGATATTGATGTCATCATCCATTATTTAAAAAATGAACGGTACCATTCTATAAAACGGAAATATCAACGTGATGTTAACAGTTTCTTACATATTATTACGAAGCATGCAAAGAATCCACCTATACTGAAGTACATATTAGATCATTTTAATGAAGTAAAACCAAAGTAAGGTGACATTTTTATGAATTTAGTGTACAAAAGTTAATATGTGTATTATTTATACATCTGTTTTTTTTTGTTTTTATAGAAAGATTAATTTAATTGCAGCATTAATTATTATTATTAATAATGATTATTCCGACGATTTATCTCAGGTAAAAGTTTTACTTGTTTAAATATGTATACAAAATGTGATAATAATGCGATATTAATTATTATTATTTAACGTTTAAAATAATTTTGATAATGTTAGAAAAATAATGCATTTTAGCGAATATCAGTGTATCTTGAACGTATTTTAAACACTAACTTACGATTAGTTGAAGTGAATAACACAGAAGGTTTATTTAAAATACATCAAATAAAGAGGGTAAATTTAATAAATATTATTATGGAAAGCGAAAGAAAGAGAAATATTGTCCAATCTTATCAATTCTTGAATCTTATTTTCACTTATGTCTTATTTGTTTTAAATCAAATATATTGTTGATTATATTGTGCAAATTTTTTTTATTTTATATACAATATTACATTGTTAAAATGCGGAATGAGATTACAATTTGTTTAATTATTTTATAATTAATAAAACGATTTATTTTAGAGTGACATTCTGATAAGGAAGAATAACTTATATGACTACATATTAAGACAAATTAGTAATCGGAACGGTCAAATCAGAAGACAAAAGCAATATTTTGAAAGATTTATTGTATAATTTGTCGTTATCAAAAATGTCATCTTGCATACGTGGACATACTTCATATGAGTAATGTTTATGTTATACATACTCTATTTTATTTACAGCTTTAATTATTGTTTATAATTATTATTTAGATGTATTACTATTCGATGCCTCTGTACATTTACAAAACTTTATTTAGTAAGATCTGACTGCATGCATCAATAATAAAAATTTAATTATACTTATATTTAAAAAAAAATTTTTTTTTTTTTTGCAAACTAAAATATGCAAAATAACCGTTTAAATAATAATCGTATTATTTATGTTAAAAAAATAGATAAAAATGCAAAAATCATGCACTTCTTTAATACTTTAAATAAGTTTATATTTATTTTACCACTTCCTCCTTAGTTTACTTTATTATAGTAATTATCAACACGGTCTATAGTAACTACTGAGACCAAATTTTGAGGTGTGTTAGTTGATTTTGATAAAGACTAATTTATTGAGAAAAACCGCATTTCCCATATTATTTAAATGGGAAAATTTCAAGGTAAAGGTAGAACCATTAAATAAAATATATATATAAACATATATATATATATATCAAGGTGTGTCCAAAAATTTGTTGTTTATTTTTTGCCCGCTGTCCAACTAAAGAGTAAACTAATGGAAAGATAATAATTACCCTAACGAACTAATTCTAATTGATTTTATTTAATGATTTCAACTTCGGAGGCCGTTATATATATAGAGTGTTCCAGAACTGGCGGCAAAGTTTTAATGGCAGATTTCTGGTATTATTTGGAGACAATTTTTCTTAGTGAAAATGTTAAGAGAGGTCATCATTTGTAGCATATTCCTAATTTTTGTTATTATGTATTCTTATAACTATATGCCTTGTATTAAAATTTTATTAAAACAAACTCTATTTAAAATTAACTCAAGAATGTACTTCAGTTAATATTTTATATTAGTTTCCAAAAATGCTTTAATTTTCAATTGTTTATAATTCAAAAATTATTAGTGTCTCAACCTTTTTTGCTGAGGAAAAATCCTCTCTGAATGATACCATGAATCTGCCATTAAAAACTTTTTCGCCAGTTCTGGAATATCTTGTATATATATATATAACGACCTCTTAAGTTTTGTTGATCTAACACATATTTATCATGATGACACGTACAGAGAATCAGTCAGTCTTTCGTGGTCTTTTGAACCACATCGTGGTAGATACAATAATTCTAATAAAGTGTGTGTGAATAAATATATTCTTCGACCATTGCATACTGCTAAAGCATTAATTTGCTGCAGTAATTTTAAAAATATAAAATTCTTTTTAATATAAATTTACAATTAACATATTGTTCTTAAATATTAGGTAAGTCAAAATAAGTTAAAAATATAAAAACATATATTTGTCTTCAAATACAAAAGAATTTTATCATACCATATAACGGAATTTTAAAAAAGGTCTAACAAATAAGCATAAAGAGAATAGTTACATTCGAAATTATCTTTAAATTTTAATCCAGATATGGATTTTAAATAATGCCAATATTATAATATTTAATAAATTTTAATGTTGAAATAATCGTGGTCTTACAAATGTTTTATAATAAATAAATTATTACTTAAATTTAAAAATGCTATAATTTACATAACCAATAATAAATATTATAGACACGTTTAACTATCCTTTCATTATTAGATTATTAAAATTATGTTTTCTACAATTTGTCGTATTTATTTTTTATAAAAAAAATATTTATATGCATATTTTATTACTTAAAATAATTTTAAGGTGTGCTAAAATTGTAAAAAATATCTGTTACATATAAGAAAAATTAAATAATTTTGCTGTTAAAGATAACGTAGATAATAAAAAAAATTAAAAAATAGGATAATTGCTTTAAATGTAAACACAGGTATATATGTATGTAAAAATAACGGCTCTTGTGTTTATAAAAATAATTTGTTGCAGCCAAAAAACTTTATATACTACAAATCCTTCTAAATAATATTCTAAAAATTTTAGATGTATATAATCATCTGACAATGAGAATAATTATTTATAGAAATATAAATTATAATACAAATTTAATTTTTGTCTATTTCTGTCAATTACAATATGTGCGACACTGAAATATACACATACCCACACCGACACCCCCCCTTCCCACACACACACACACGCGCGCGCGCGACACACACACACACACATATCTTCATATTAAAAGATTGTGCAAATAAAAATTTGCGTATTGCTTCTCCACCATATAATATTTTATTAATTAGAATAGTTTTTCTATTAATAATTTTAATATTTTCTTTGTTTTATTTTTTGTTTATATATACGAAAATTATTTAAAAATACATTAAAGCTAAATTTATATTCTTTATTTATCTTTTCCAGAGTGTGTTTTCGAGATCTCAAATAAATATTCCTTTTTTCCGACATGATGATATTCTTGAAACTATTATTAAATAGCGGATTAATTTTTATCGCTGCGACGGCTTTCATTGGTAATGAATCTCGATGTTATAAACCACCAAAATATGTAAAACCAATACATTACGATATCAAGTTTACATCAGAAATTGAAGAAAATATTTTCTATGGAGAATACAATATCAGCATAAACATTCTTAACAAAACGCAACACATATATTTGCAGTTAGAAAAATTATGTATTTACAATATATATTTATTTACAAATATTGAAAATTATGAGAATGATAGAGATGCAGTATATAAACCAACATATAATCGTAGTCGAGACACAATTAATATTGTCTTTGGAGTTGAATTATCACCAGGAAATTATACTTTAAATATAGAATATTCTGGTAAATTTGATAAAAGCTTCGGAATTTTGAACGTCGAAAAAAAAAACAACGTATGTAATAAATTTTTAATAAATGTTCATTAAATGGTATACAATATGCAATTACACAAAACATTGTAATTAACATAATATTTATGTATTAAATGTGCAAAAAGTTATTATATATCGTGCAATTTAATTATAAAAACAAACAATCTTTGTCTTTCAAACATATTATTACATATTACATTTACATGTTTATTAAATGTCTTAATAATTCCTTTTCTTTGAAACGTAGTAGGATAGCTGCTCTGCATTTCCACATAATAGGCTCCCAACAATTAATTCCATGTTGGAATTACCGATATTCATTAGAAGCAACATTTAGCATATCTATAAAATGTAATCGATGCGTGGCTTTGTCAAATATGCCATTGCCAAATATTGAAAGAGATGAGAACAATGTGTTATGGACACACTTTAATACCACACCTGCAATATCGCCTTATCTCGTAACAATGCTTCTATCTAATAATCTAATCAATCTTGATGACGAAACTCGAGGAATTAACATGTGGAGCAGACGCGAATCTAGATTAGACATAAAATATGCAGAAAGTGTAGCTGAAGATATCATGTTGTATTTTCAAACTTATTGGAATCGTTCTAACAGTATTACGCACGTCACTCATGCTGCAATTCCTAATTTCCATGATAAAAGCATCATAGTTTTCGGACTTGTTCTTTATAGGTGAATATAAGTGCTTGAGATTACATTAAAAATAAAATTATATTAGTATGCAAATTTATAAAATTTATAAACATGTACATATAGCTTGTTTCTGTAAACTTTCGAAAGTATGCATGAGAAACGTTCAAGACAAACAATTTTAATGAGAATAAATTTATTTGCAATATTCAGAAAGTTGAAATTTACCGTTGTAATACGTACATACAGAGAAAGGCATATATGCTAAATCGTACCCTCTACAATAAATATTAAAATTACAATAAAATTATACAAGAAATCACAATATTTTATTCATTTAGACCAATAATTCTTATCAATGATGTACGCATTAAAACAAATTTATAATCTTTTTATATATTAAATTAAAAATTAAAAAAAAAGATTATTAGACAATTTACAATACTGGTGTGCTAAATTGTCCCCGAGTTTGTAAATCGTAACTTTAGATTAAAATTAAAAATTGTAACAAAAATTAAGTTTTATTTTTTATGTAACTTTTCAGTCTTGACATTTAAATGTAACTTTCAGGGAAGTAGATATCATCTTTAATACAGTATTATATCCAGTTGCTCGCGCAATCCAAGTAGCTCAATTAGTAGAACATAAAGTGGCACAGGAATGGTTTTATAATCTTAACAATCACTTTTGGTCGACTTTTTGGTTTAATGAAGGTCTTACTGGATTGCTTGCAACAATTGCTGTCGATAAGGTAATTCTATTATTAACGCTATCTCGCTCCCACTTTCTCGAAAATGATAACAAACTTAAGCATTTATATTGCAAGATGTTTGTATATCAAATTTTATTTACAAAATGCACATAATTTCTTTGTAAATTATCTTATAAATATTTAATATTATATAAAATACTAATCTGTTTTCTAAAAAATATTTTTTTCACTCTGTTACATACATATAATTATAATAAAGTAAATTATTAAAACTTTTATTTTTTAACACTTTTTTATTAAATGTTTTAGAATTTATATAAAATCTAGAATTAAATTAATTAATTAAAAATAGTACACACGATATTTCTTTTAATTGGTTTGATAAAGAGAACTCTGCTATATAATATCATGACATAATTATTTTTAAAGTATACAATATTTAATTGCTAATTATATTAATACAAAATTTTAAATATATTATATTTATATATGTTTTTTTTTTTAATTTTCTAATTAACATATAAGGAACGTTAATATAATATTAGTATTTGGTACTATTGCAAGTATTTTCCAAACAATTATATCGATATATTTAATAATTTTTTTTATAGATTTATCCAAGATATCGAATAATGAATTTATTTGTTGTTCAAAATCAACATAATTCTTTTTCTTTGGATGGTGATTATCATATGTGGAACTCTTCATTACGAGATGATAGTTTATTTAACATTCGCAAATCCATCAGGGGTAAGACGTAATATAATAAAATAGTCCGCGTAAATTTTTAATCATTGAAATTATAAAAATGTGTAAAAATTAAAAGATAATTAATTTTAAAAATAACTGTGAGACGACCCAACTGGCTTAAATTAATTCTTATTATTATTAGTTTGATGCCATATACAAGAAAAGACAACGTTTCGACCTTAGGTTTAGGTCCTTATCAAGTCTAAAATTAACATTAAAAATTAAAAAATACAATAGATGTACATACAAGAATTTCGATTTTTAAGAAAGCAAAGCGCAAACCAAGATTGTAATAACAAATTAAAACGTACCTTACAAATTCTTTAGTGCAATATATACTTAATTTTTTTATTTTACATATTTCAATATAAATACTGTGTTACGTAAACGTTCAGTATGGATGGTAAAGACGAACTAAGTTAAACAGCTTTGATTATTCTATCATAGATCGGATTCAAATTCTCTGTGTCTTTCTGTAGGTTGATCGTGTTATTAAATTTTTTTATAAAAAACATTTCAGCAATCTCTCTTTTCCTAGTGTTTGTTTCTCGATGTAAAATATTTAAGTTTGTCCATTTAAAGTCATGCGAAAAATCATTTCTATGTTTGCTTATAACATTTTGATTGCTGACATGCATTTTTATATTATTCATATGTTCTTTAATCCGAGTATTAAGGTGTCTTTTAGTTTGTCCGATGTATGTGGCGTCACAGTCATTGCAGTCAACTTTATAAACTATTTCGGTCATATCGGCTTTAGGTAATTTGTCTTTTCGGGGTTTAATAAACGTATCAAGTTTTTTTGGAATCGTATAAATAACACTTAAGCCTGTTTTCTTAATAGATCTCTCAATAGTCTCACTTAGGTTCTTAACATACGGCATTAAAATACAAGACGAAATATCAAATACATTATTTTTGTCAACTACGTTATGAGAATTTTCTAAAAAACATGTTCTTTTATACATATATCGCTCGATGACCGTCCTAGGGAAACAATTATTCAACAAGATTTTTTTAACCATCTGTAAGTTCTCATTATGAAATCGTTTATCCGATAACAAAATAGCGTGGTCGACTAAGTTATTAATCGTGTTAACTTTGTATTTAAACGGATGGTTAGAATGGTAGTTTAAATATCTACCAGAGAAGGTGGGTTTCTGGTACCAACTAGTCAATAGTTTACCATTGTTTCTAAAAACCAATGTATCCAGAAAGTTAATCTTGTTATTTATCTCTGTTTCATGTGTAAATTGCAAACGGTGATGGTATTTATTAAACGTAGTCAAAATGTTATCCATTTTATTGCGTGGTACTATTTGTAAAAATATCATCAACGTACCTATAATAAACTGAAATGTCAAATTGTAAAGAGCTTAAACATTCTGTCTCAAGATCAGCCATAACTAACAATAAGTCTGCTAAAATAGGTGAAAGGGGGGATCCCATTGGCGTACCATGTATCTGTTCATAAAATTGATCGTTGAAACGAAAACTAGTAGATTCTAATACAGCGTCGATTCCATATAAAAATTGTGCCAAACTAAAATTTGTGTTACATGAAATATCACTCCAACGTTTTTCAATAGCTTTTAAAACTAATTCCTTAGGAACGTTTGTGAATAAAGATGTGACGTCAAGAGAAATTAACATTTCATTATCTTCAATACTCAAATTCTTGATTTTATTTGCGAACGTCCAACCGTCTTTAATATGTGAGGTAGGTTTCGTAACTGATCGTTCCAATATATCATGTAAAAAACGCGCTATACTGTAAACCGGGCTCCCAAGTGACGAAACAATTATACGTAAGGGCGCGTTAACTTTGTGAATTTTCGGTAGACCGTAACATCGTGGAAGGTTCCCATTCGTGGTATTAAGACGTTTATATGTCATTTCATCAATCAATTTATTATCTCGCCATGATTTGATTAAAGAATTGATTCTACCCGAAACTTTCTTGAACGGATCTTTTTTCAGTTTAGTATATGTATATTGATCATTCAGTGAAACATTCATTTTGTCAATATAGTCTTTTTTGTCCATAATAACTGTAGTTTGACCCTTATCGGCTGTCGTAACTAAAATGTCATCGTTATCGCGTAGATAACTATGACATTGTTTAGAGTTGTTTATAATGTATCTATCTATGTAGCTAGTGTGTTTCTTTTTGCTAAGAAATCCATACGCCGCTTTAGTTACCTCGTTTCTTGTCGATTCAACAAGAGCATTAGGAATCTTAGTGCAATTAATTTCTAGGTTTTTAGCTATATCGATAACAATGTTAGTGCGGTCATTCTTATAATTCTGTGAGACAGGCAACCCGAATTTATCACCTAAGCTTAAAAAATCTAGAATGTTCTCTGGAATAATTTTATTACTCAAATTTACTATCCATTTCGATCTGTCAATTTTACTAAAGGGGTTAAGTGAAACATTATTATTTCGTATTAAATTATTGAACTTTTTAATCGCGTTATCCTTTTTCGTTTTATTAAAAATAAATAATTTATGATAATTAAGTTCAAAAAATCTGTCAATTAAAGTACGTGGAAGTAAGTCAGACATCCTTTTTTCGATGTTATAAAGTTTGGAATGTAAGAACTTTATGTTATAATTTAAATCTTTAATTTCTAAGTTCAACAATCTAATTCGAGTTCGTCTAGAAAAAATAATCAAATTTTTGGTTTACGCTATTACTGTAGAAAAAGATGTTCAATTTCAATTTCTTGATGTGTGGTGGAAGTAAATCCAATCTTCTGCATCGAAGCAGGAAAATTAGTTGATGTTTCGATGTAAATAGCTTCTTCTTAGTATCAATCCATGATTTCAGCAATAATGTGTAGTTAAAACCATAATGATCGGAGATTGTTTGAAAAAAAACCACCTCTCCGTGTAAGCACCATCATTCGGTCAATGTGCAGTAAAATTAATAGTAGATATCTTGTATCGCCAGTGACTTGAATCCGATCTATGATAGAATAATCAAAGCTGTTTAACTTAGTTCGTCTTTACCATCCATACTGAACGTTCACGTAACACAGTATTTATATTGAAATATGTAAAATAAAAAAATTAAGTATATATTGCACTAAAGAATTTGTAAGGTACGTTTTAATTTGTTATTACAATCTTGGTTTGCGCTTTGCTTTCTTAAAAATCGAAATTCTTGCATGTACATCTATTGTATTTTTTAATGTTAATTTTAGACTTGATAAGGACCTAAACCTAAAATCGAAACGTTGTCTTTTCTTGTATATGGAATCAAACTAATAATAATAAGAATTAAATTAAGCCAGTTGGGTCGTCTCACAGTTATTTTTAATTTTATTCATCACTGGCGATACAAGATATCTACTATTAATAATTACTTTTATTTTCATATTAATAATATATTAGTTTTATAAAAGTGCACAAACAATATAGATGTGTGTATGTAATTTGCAACTAACAACTACATAATTTTCTTCCAAAATAATGCGGTTTTATGCTAAAATATTGATTATTCTCATTATTTTATATACAAAATTATTAAGATATGATCGAGGAAAAATGAATATTTTTTGAGATATATTTACGTTTATGTAAAATAATGTGTTAGAAGTAAAAAATAACCTACAAAATATTCTCTTTATAATTATCTTATCCTTACAACTTATTGTTTTGATAATGAATATTGCGAGAAATCGATTTATAAAAAAATTACGGTAGATCCTTTCAAAAGAATTAAGTGAATACTATTTAACCAAAAAACTTGGCCTTTTGCAGTAGTGTTTACTTGTTTAGAAATAATACAACTTTTATATAAAACGTTTTCCTCTAATATAAATTGTTCAAGAAATTATTGTAAGAACATTTTATATTGAAATAGTTTGTGTATATGTATATATATATTCCATATATACGTAAATGTATTGAAATATGATTACCGCAAACTGAATAATTTTGCAGGATATTTTACACTTTGTCAAAAAATTGTTCACTTCTAACTTTTATAACTCAAAAATTATTTAATAAAATTGATCTTTTAATGTCTTGCTATCTTCGTCAGATTTAACGAGAAATTCCATTTCACTGTTACGCGATTACTACCTTGTATACATATAAAATTTAATTTCTTTTTATAATCATTATGTTTACATGTAACATTTAAAATAATTAAATATTTATAATATTTCTAATTTATAATTTTGTATAATGTAATTTCTAGCACCCTTTTTACTGCGCATGGTACAACACGCCTTCACCGAAGAATTATTTTGGAAAAGCGTCCGCCCATATATATTTGACAAGTAAGTAATATAATATAGAATATAATTTAAAAAAATTAAATTGTGTAAACCTTAAATAATTTATAATAATGCTAGTTTTGTAAAATGTCCTTTATATTTAGCTTCTGACATTATTTCATATTTTTTTTAATTTTACAAGTTTTTAGTTTTTCTTTATTTTTCTAGCTCCTGTATTAGATTTATATTTGATTTCATTACTTTTACTACAAAACTGCTTTTGCAGAAAGGAACTGTTGTTTTATCGTTGTGTTTGTCACTTTTTCATTTACATATCTATTGTTGTTTCTTTTATTATTGTTTCCTGATTTGTTATTTTTTAAAATAATATTTATAAATTATTATTATTTTTTTTTATTATTTCCTTCATGTTTTATATCGTCTATAATTTTTGTAATTTATTTTCTTATAATTGCATTTTGTGCTACATTTGTTGTTTATGTTTTTTATTTAATAGGTTTTTAAATATATAAAACTTATATTTTTTCCATTACTTCTCTATCTTTATTTTTGACTTTTGTAAATCAATGTTTTTTATATTTATTGTTTAAATACTTGTTTTGTCACTTCCAATGTGTTTTATTTTTCTTTTAATTATTTCATAACTCTTTTAATACTTTGCTTAAAGATAATCTATTATATATTATGCTAATAATGCATAAAAAATTTAATAAAATTATTAAATTTTATTCAAAATTGTTATATTCCTTACTATCATAAGATAAATATAATATATATATATATATATATATATATACAGACAATTTTAACATATTTCTAATGTTCTTTTATATATTTTACCTATTGTGTAAATTTAGTCAAAGTTTGCTGCATCTTTTGGAAGAAATTGATACTGCTGTAGGAAAAATACATTTTGCAATTCGAATAATAAATAATTGGCAATTAGAAACGCATTGTCCTATCATAAAAGTAATACGTAATCATAAAGATTATCATCGTGTGCATTTTGTGATCGAAGTAACTGTATTGATACAAAATACCGACACATTAAAAATTGACTGCTTTCCTGTAACTTTTACTACGGAAGCGTCTCCCAATTTTAACAATTTTACTCATCATATGTTATGCGTGAAAAAGAATTTAAAATTATCATTAGCATTTGATCAGCCTGGTTGGATAATATTCAATGTACAACAAGTTGGTATGTCGATAATGTATTTTATTTAATAATATCGACCAAGGAATTTATTATGACTTATTTCTCGTCTTTATTTTACACACACATAATTGACATTATTCTATATTATTATCTATTATATTTATTGTTTTATAAAAATCTGAGATATTCATTATATAACTATGTTAATTCTTAAATATTTTATGTAATAATCTGCATTATCTATATATAATTATATATATATATATATATATAAACTAAGAAGTCACCAGTTGATAATTAAAAATGGTATTAATTTCATCAACCATATCTGGCTATGAATAATATTTATTAAAATTATACGACGTTTCGACCATGGGTTTCAACCCTTATCAAGTGCTACATAATACCGCCTTATTATAACAAACACTATACTTATTTGATCTTAGGTCATGACGTGATGTAATGTCATGATAATGTGTTACGAACTCACTGTTAGTTAATAAATATTACTTATAGCCAGATATGTTTGATGAAATTATTACCATATATAATTATATGTTATACATTGGTGTTTTCTATTATAATATCAATTAATTTTCAAGTTATATGTTTACAAATATTTTATTCTAATTATAATAAAAATTATAAAAAGTTAACAATTTTTATAAAATTAGTAAAACAATAATAACAAGTAAAACATACAATTTTCGTAAGGTTATATGTTACAGAAATTTTACTGATTAATATAAAATAAATATTACATAATTTATGCTCAATTAGAATCAATTTTATTTTATGCTATTTAACAATACCTTGTACAGTTTTATTTTTCATTTGTAATAACTTTTCTACATGTATATGCTTTTTATATACATTAAATTTTTAATACGTTTTCAATATAAATTTATATAAACAAAAGTGTGAAACAGACATTTTTGGAAATAAATACAATATAATGTTATCATAATGTTATAATTATTCAAAACAATAAAAATTGTTAACATTTATATTCTATTCGACAGGATATTACCGCGTGCACTACGATATCGAGAATTGGCAAAGGATTTCAAATTATCTAAACTCTGAAACTTACACGAAAATTCATGTTCTTAATCGTGCCCAAATTATTGATGATGCATTTCATTTAATGATAGCAGGCCAACTCGAATCATATCTATTCTGGGATATCATAGAGTATCTACATCGAGAAGAAGATTATATAGCTTGGTATCCTATGTTTAAAGCTCTGGAATACATGTTCGGTACCTTTTCAGCGTTTGGCGAACAATTTAACAATGTTAAGGTAAATGTTAATAGATTTCAATGAAGGTGTTACATTTCAGTTATTTGCATATATACACTCATTCACTACAAAAAGTTTAAATACTCAGAAAAATATATACCGCAACGATAAACTTTTGCATTATTAATTATGTTGCAAATAAATGTGCAAATCAATTAAATTAAATGATTACTCACGTGAAGAACAGGACTCAAAGTGTTTGATTTTCATTACTGCCAATATTATTGATATATATGACATTGTTTTTGGTTATTGGATATGGTGTTTACAATCTTTGTCAATGATTTATACTTATAAACATTTCTCACAAATTTAATCTACTTTTTAAGGAGAGGTCCAATTGTGTCGCACGGTTTGAGTGTTTATTAAAATCGGTCCGCGGACGCAACATTTTAGGGAATATAATTCATAGTCCAGGGACGTTCGACCGAAAGTTGCACTTGAGCTAAACGCAAATTTAAAATATATTAATTAACCAAAGAAATAAATATTTAACGATTTTTAGGGAAGAATAAGAGCCATATTATTCGATGTACTTAGAAAAATCCGATACAAAGAAGTTGTTGATCAAGCCTTTCTTAGAAACTGTTTACGATATGAAGCTGCAAGATGGGCATGTTTTTTCGGTGATATCACTTGTAAGACAGAAGCCAACAATATATTAAAACAATATATCATAGATATAAAATTGCGCAGGTAAATATTGTTATAAATTTTTAACCTTTTTTATTCAAATTTTCTTGTAGGTATCGCTTATAATGTTCAAATAATTTAATCAAAAAATCGATATGTTAAGCTTTAATAAGAAAAATTAATTTTTTTATGTTTTAGTCGATTGCTATGGAAGCAGGAATGGATATATTGTAAAGGTTTGATGATAACTACCATAAACGAGACCATTTGGGAATCAGTGTTTGATATAGGAGTGAGTAAATCTGACGCTAAATTTTTGGAATACTTGGCTTGCCCTGAAGATATTGATGTCATCGTCTATTATTTAAAAAATAAACGGTATCATTCTATAAAACGGGAATATCAACTTGATGTTAACAGTTTCTTACATATTATTACGAAGCATGCAAAGAATCCAACTATACTGAAGTACATATTAGATCATTTTAATGAAGTAAAACCAAAGTAAGGTGACATTTTTATAAATATTGTGTACAGAAGTTTATTATGTGTATTATATATACATATGTTTTTCTTTGTTTTTATAGAGAGATTAATTTAAATGCAGCATTAATTATTATAATCAACAACGTATATTCCGACAATTTATCTCAGGTAAAAATTTTACTTGTTTAAATATGCATACAATATGTAATAATAATACAATATTAATAATTATTATTTAATGTTTAAAATAATTTTGATAATGTTAAGAAAATAATATTTTTTAGCAAATATCAAGAAATGTTAGAGGTATTTTAAACAATAACTTAATTGAAGTAAATAACACAAAAGATTTATTTAACAAACATCAAATAAAGGAGGTAAATTTAATAAATATTGTTATAGAAAGCAAAAGAAAAAAAAATATTGTTCAATCTTATCAATTCCAGAATCTTATTTTTACATATGTTTTATTTGTTATAAATGAAATGTATGTTGATCTTATTGTGCAAATCTTTTCTATTTTATATACAATATTACATTGTCAAAATGCGGAATGAGATTACAATTTGTTTAATTATTTTATAATTAATAAAACGATTTATTTTAGAGTGACATTCTGATAAAGAAGAATAACTTATATGACTACATATTAAGACAAATAATTAATCGGAACGGTCAAATCAGAAGACGAAAGCAGTATTTTGAAAGATATGTTGTATAATTTGTCGTTATCAAAAATGTCATCTTTGCATACGTGGACATACTTCATATGAGTAATGTTTATGTTATATATATATTATTTTATTTACTGCTTTAATTATTGTTTATAATTATTATTTAGATGTATTACTATTCGATGCCTCTGTACATTTACAAAACTTTATTTAGTAAGATCTGACTGCATGCATCAAGAATAAAAATTTAATTATACTTATATTTAAAAAAAAAAAATTTTTTTTTTTTTTTTTTGCAAACTAACTTAACTGGATGTATTTTAGACGCTAACTTAGTTGAAGTGAATAACACAGAAGATTTATTTAAAATACAACAAATAAAAGAGGTAAATTTAATAAATATTATTATGGAAAGCAAAGAAAGAGAAATATTGTTCAATCTTATCAATTTCTGAATCTTATTTTTACATATGTTTTATTTGTTATAAATCAAATATATGTTGATTTTATTGTGCAAATCTTTTTTATTTTATATACAATATTACATTATCAAAATGCGGAATAAAATTACAATTTATTTAATTATTTTATAATTAATAAAACGATTTATTTTAGAGTGACATTCTGATAAATAAGAATAACTTACATAAATACATATTAAAACAGATAATTAATCGGAACGGTCAAATCAGAAGTCAAAAACAGTATTTTGAAAGATATTTTGTATAATCTGTGGTTGTTAAAAAAAATGTCATCTTTGCATACGTGTACATACTTCATATGAGTAATTTTTTATGTTTTATATATAGCCATATAATATTATAATAAATTTTACTGTTGGACATAATATAATAATATAAATGTGTAAATATAAATGTATTAATATGCTTGTAAAATCATAAGCGCGCCTAAATGTTCATCTATTTAATTTGAATTATATATTGATTTGTTTTTAATTCTTTTACGTTAATTAATAATGTTATATGTTTATGCCACACACACAATATGTATATATATATATATATATATATTTATTTATTTGTATGTACACGCAAGTGTGTATTTCTAGGTTTGAAAAAAATCAATTCCTCCCTTTTTCCAACACAGACAATTAATTATTTACAGGTGAAAAATTTATGTTAAAAATACAAATCATAAAAAGATCCATTCTCCTAAATATCCACAGAAATTTTAGTGTTAATTTAACACAATATACGAATATGTTAAATATGTTAAATATTGTGACACATAATAATAATAATAATAAATAGTGTGTTACAATATTTTAACATAGAATAAATTCAAGCTTCAAGTAAACTTAAAATCAATTTTTTGTAAAATTGTTATAGAGTTTTAATGTAAAAATTAATTAAAAAATGTTAATTTTGCTTTTTTTCAGTTCTTATATTGTAAAATAAAATCAAAATATGTTTTCAAAATTTTAACAGATAAATCTTGTCACTAATAATACGGAACGTATTTATTGTTAAAATTAAAAATAGATACACATTGTATTATATTCACATTTTTTTCACAGTTGTTATAATAATTTAACAATTAAATTCAATTAACAACAACAGCAATAATAAGTTAAATTAACACATAAATATGTTAAATATTTAATACAAAAAATTTAACGAAGACCGTGTTTAATAAAACAACACATTTTTCAACTGTGTTAGATAGGCTTTCTCAATATAATAACATCCTTATTAATATTCGTAACTCATGAGATAATTTCTGGGTAATTTTAAATTCGAAATGTTCAAGATAAAGACAGAGATAGAAAAAAGGTGTATAATTAAGATAAAATAATCTTAATATACCACTCATATCTATAACATACAATTAAAATTATAATAGTTGCGCATTTTTTTAGTTAACAAAATACTTATTTTTAATAAATATAAAATAATAATAAAAGCAAACACAGATAGATACTTTAAGTCTCTATTGAATCATTTTTTATCAGCAAATGACTCGCTGATAATATGCCTTGCATATAATTAATCGAAATTATTTAACGAAATAGAAATAAAGGTCAAAGATAAATGTCAGAGATCATTGAAAGAAATATATGTATATCGCGATTCATGTACAGGCTTTCTGTTTTTATGATTTATTTTTTTATAATTTAATCAATTAAAAATTTTGCGTGTAACAAATTGAATTAAATGATTATGAGATGCTTGGATTTCTATTTTATTTAGGTGTACTCTGCATTTTTCTCCTTTGAAAAAGAAATATATAATATAAATATTAATATAATAAATTAGTAAAAATTATAACGCTCTTATATATCGAAATAAATTGTAAAATTAATGTAAGTACAGGCCAACTTAAGAGCATAAATAATTAGGATGTTAATGAATATTATAAATTTTTATTGTTTCCCAATTATATCATATAAAAAAACTTTAAAACATATTAATACAATTGAATCACAAACGTTTCGACTGTACGCAGTCTTCATCAGTGGAGTCATATAATATTAGTCAATTATAAAATTTAAAAAACATTTCGACAATGCTAACGATTGCAATTTCTACTGTTAATTATCATCATATATAAAATAACTTGGGTGATGCGAACGATTACAACTTTTGATGATGTGTAGCATGTACGATTTTGAGGCTGGATACATCACTATATTGTTCTTGGATCATTTCAAGATGTTAATGCGGATTATTTCCAATGCTGATTTTAAAGGTGAGAAAACTCTTGGCATTCCATCGTTCGAAAGCGTGGAATTGTCTTAGTTTCCCTTAATTGTTATACGTTTCTATATAAAATGACACACTTTTTAATGACTACTGTTAGGAAAAATTTTTTTGAATATTACAATGAAAATTGCTTACTATTGAATCTGTTAAATAGATGACTTTATAAATATTCACGCCACAACTCAGTTACTTATTACTTTACACGCCATTCAAAACGCCACGGAGTAAAGTGTAGAGTCTAAAATGAACTCAATCACATATAAAAATTGGGAAAGATTGAATTTCGTATTGGTTGAAATATCCATCCAACGTTTTTTTACGCCGCTAATTACTAACTCTTTCGGGATATTCGTAAATAATGAGGTAACATCTAATGATATTAGTACTTCATCATCAATAATTACCTTGTTCTTAATATTCTCGACAAAGGACCAACCATCTTTAACAAACGATCTCGGTTTCTTAATAGAATTAGTAAGTATATTATGGATGTAGTTCGACAGATTATATAACGGGTTACATAATGAAGATACTATAATTCGCAATGGACAATCAATTTTGGGGATTTTCGACAACCCGTAACATCGTGGTAAATTCCCGTTAGTTACGTTTAAATAATTATAAGTAGTCATGTCTATCAATTCATTATCGAGCCAAGACTTAATAAGAGAATTGCATTTTGTTAGTTAACTTTTTAACAGGATTTTTATTAATTTTTCTATAAGTCGATTCGTCATTTAATAAAGCTTCCATTTTTTCCATGTAGTCGATTTTATTAAGAATCACCGTCGTTTGTCCTTTGTCAGCCTTAGTAACAATAATATCGTCGTTATCCTTTAGAAATTTTTTTGACTCAGAGAAACATCTGACGATACATTTATCTATACAATTAGTATGCTTTTGTGTGATTAAAAAATTCCGGATAGAATTAGCTACCGAAATCCCAGTTGTTTCACGTAAGTTAGAAGGAATCTTGTCAATACTCACCTCTAGACTTTTAACTATCTCAAGTGCGGTACTAACACGATCCCTCTCAACACCTTGTTGTATTGGTAAACCGAAACTATCGCCAAGGCTTAATAAGTCAAATACATTATCTGGTATTATAATACTTTATTACTGAGATTAACAATCCACTTAGATTTGTCAATATTAATGAAAGGATTCACGACTACATTATATTTACGTAGCAATGCATTGAATTTGTTAATTAATTTGTTCTTTGTCATATTTTTAAAAACCAAAATTCTATCCCTATTAAGTTCTATAAAATTTGTAAGTAACTGTCGAGGTAGTCAAAAAGTCTACGCTCGATATATGCTATTTTCGTATGTAAATATTTCAAGTGAACATTAATATCCTTTATCTCGAGTCTCAATAATCTAAATTTATAATGTTTAAAATTACACTCAAACCTTCGACAAAAATGGCCGCTATATAAACTTATTCCGTTTCTCAAATTATCGACGTGTGATGGTAGAATGTCATACGTCCTGCATCGTAGTAAAAATATTAGCTGCTGGTTACAAATAAGAATCCTCTTTTTTGTAATAATCCAAGATTTTAAGAGGGTCGTGTAGTAATTAACATACCGTGTGGAAATTATACTAAAAAAACCAACGTTTGGGACAAACTCCATAATTAGGTCCAGAAGTGCCTCGGGGTTCAAAACCCTGTTGTTTTACAGATACGTGGATGATATTTTCACAATTATCTCATGTGGGAGTGTTGATGAAATTTTGTCGGTTTTTAATGATTACCATCCGAGTTTAAAATTAACTCATAAAATTGAAAGTGACGACTCGATTAATTTTTTAAACACTACTGTGATCAGAAAAAATGGTATTTTATTAACTAATTGGTTTATAAAACCCACTTGTTCGGGTAGATATATCAATTATTATTCTAATCATCCTTTTAAATACAAAAAGAATACCATTTTTAGTCTTGTCGATCATGCGATTTTATTATCGAACGACAGTTTTCATCAAGTGAACATTGTTAAAGTAAAATCAATACTGATGAACAATGGTTTTCCGTCGAATATTGTTAATAAGTTTGTAAAAAACAGGCTAAAATTGCTTAAGACACGAAATAACGACGATTGCAATGTTGACAATGATAATTTAGTTAGTGCAAAATTTGACCGCAACATAAAATTACTGTACGTCAAAGCACTAAGTAAAGATGTTTCGAGATTAATACAATCTATGGGCATGCAAAGCGTTTATTGTATACCGAAAAAATTGAATACACTAATTAAACTTATATTTAATAAATGACTTATATTTAAAAAAAAATTTTTTTTATTCTTTCTCTAAACTAAAATATGCGAAATAACCGTTCAAATAATAGTCGTATTATTTATGTTAAAAAAATAGATAAAAATTAAAAAATGCAAAAATCATGCACTTTTTTTAATACTTTAAATAAGTTGTTATTAATTTTACTTTTACCACTTTGTCCTTAGTTTACTTTGTTATAGTAATTATCAACACGGTCTATAGTAACTACTGAGACCGAATTTTGAAGTGCTTTAATTGATTTTGATAAAGACTAATTTATTGAGAAAAACCGCATTTCCCATATTATTTAAATGGGAAAATTTCAAGGTAAAGGTAGAACCATTAAATGAAATATATATATAAACATATATATATATCAGGGTGTGTTCAAAAATTTGTTGTTTATTTTTTGCCCGCTGTCCAATAAAGAGTTAACTAATGGAAAAATAATAATTACTCTAACAAACCAATTCTAATTGATTTTATTTAATGATTCCAACTTCCGAAATCGTTATATATACAGAGTGTCCCAGAACTGGCGGCAAAGTTTTAATGGCAGATTTTTGGTATCATTTGGAGACAATTTTTTCTTAATGAAAGAGTTAAGAGAGGTCATCATTTGTAGCATAGTCTTAATTTTTGCTATTATGTATCTTTTTAAAATTAACTGAAGAATGTAGTTTAGTTAATATTTTATATTAGTTTCCAAAAAAACTTTAATTTTCAACTGCTTATAATTTGAAAATATTAGTGTCTCAACATTTTCGCTGAAGAAAAATTGTCTCCAAATGATACCATAAATCTGCCATTAAAAATATTTTCGCCAGTTCTGGCATACCTTGTATATATATATATATATATATATATATATATATATATATATATATATATACGACCCTCAAAGTTTTGTTGACCTAACACATATTTATCATGACGACACGTACAGAGAATCAGTCAGTCTTTCGTCGTCTTTTGAACCACATCGACGTAGATACAATAATTCTAATAAAGTGTGTGTGAATAAATATATTCTTCGACCATTGCATACTGCTAAAGCATTAATTTGCTGCAGTAATTTTAAAAATATATAATTTTTTTCAATATAATTTTGCATTTAACATACTGTTCCGAAATATTAGGTAAGTCAAAATAAGTTATAAATATAAAAACATATATTTGTCTTCAAATACAAAAGAATTTAATCATAGAGTATAACGGAATTTAAAAAAAAATCTAACAAATAAGCATAAAAAGAATAGTTACATTCGAAATTATCTTTAAATTTAAATTCAGATATAATTTCAAATAATGCCAATATTATAATATTTAATGAATCGTAATGTTGAAATAATCGTGGACTTACAAATGTTTTATAATAAATAAATTGATACTTAAATTTAAAAATGCTATAATTTACATAACCAATAATAAATATTATAGACACTTTTACCTGGTCTTTCATTATTAGATTATTAAAATTATGTTTTCTACAATTTGTCGTATTTATTTTTTATAAACAAATATCTATATGCATATATTATTACTTAAAATTATTTTAGGTTGTGCTAACATTAAGTAAAAAATATCTGTTGCCAAAAAAAAGAATTAAATAATTTTGCTGTTAAAGATAACGTATATAATAAAAAAAATAAAAAAATAGAACAATTGCTATGAATGTAGACACAGGTATATATGTATGTAAAAATAACAGCTCTTGTGTTTATAAAAATAATTTGTTGCAGCCAAAAAAATTTATATACTACAAATCCTTCTAAATAATATTCTAAAAATTTTAGATGTATATAATCATCTGACAATGAGAATAATTATTTATAGAATTATAAATTATTACAAATCTAATTTTTGTTTATTTCTGTCAATTACAATATGTGCGACATTGAAATATACACATACCCACACCAACACCTCCCCTTTCCACACACACACCCGCGCGCGCGCGACACACACACACACATATATTTTCATATTAAAAGATTGTGCAAATAAAAATTTGCGTATTGCTTCTCCACCATATAATATTTCATTAATTAGAATAGTTTTTCTATTAATAACTTTAATATTTTTATTGTCTTATTTTTTGTTTATGTACAATCATTATTTAAAAATACAGTAAAGCTATATTTAATTTTTTTATTTATCTTTTCCAGAGTGTGTTTTCGAGATCTAAAATATATATTCCTTTTTTTTGAGATGATGGTATTTTTGAAACTATTATTAAATAGCGGATTAATTTTTATCGCTGCGACAGCTTTCATTCGTAATAAATCTCGATGTTATGAACCACCAAAATATGTAAAACCAATACATTACAATATCAAGTTTACATCAGAAATTGAAGAAAATATTTTCTATGGAGAATACAATATCAGCATAAACATTCTTAACAAAACGCAACACATATATTTGCAGTTAGAAAAATCATGTATTTACAATATATATTTATTTACAAATAATGGAAATTATGAGAATGAGAAAGATGCAGTATATAAACCAACATATAATCGTAATGAAGACACAATTAATATTGTCTTTGGAGTTGAATTATCACCAGGAAATTATACTTTATATATAGAATATTCTGGTAAATTTGATAAAAGCTTCGGAATTTTTAATGTGGAAAGAAAAACAACGTATGTAATAAATTTGTAATATTACATTTATACATATTACATTTACATGTTTATTAAATGTTTTAATAATTCATTTTCTTTGAAACGTAGTAGGATAGCTGCTCTGCATTTCCACATAATAGGCTCCCAACAATTAATTCCATGTTGGAATTACCGATATTCATTAGAAACAACATTTAGCATATCTATAAAATGTAATCAATGCGTGGCTTTGTCAAATATGCCATTGCCAAATATTGAAAGAGATGAGAACAATGTGTTATGGACACACTTCAATACCACACCTGCAATATCGCCTCATCTCGTAACAATGCTTCTATCTAATAATCTAATCAATCTTAATAACAAAACTCGAGGAATTAACATGTGGGGCAGACACGAATCTAGATTAGACATACAATATGCAGAAAGTGTAGCTGAAGATATCACGTTGTATTTTCAAACTTATTGGAATCGTTCTAACAGTATTACGCACGTCACTCATGCTGTAATTCCTAATTTCCATGATAAAAGCATCATAGTTTTCGGACTTGTTCTTTATAGGTGAGTATAAGTGCTTCAAATTACATTAAAAATAAAATTATATTAGTATGCAAATTTATAAAATTTATAAACATCAACATATAGGTTGTTTCTGTAAACTTTCGAAAGTATGCATGAGAAACGTTAAAAACAAACAATTTTAATAAAAATTAATTTATTTGCAATATTTAGAAAGTTGAAATTTACTGTTGTAATACGTACATACAGGGAAAAGCATATATGCCAAATCGTAACCCCTACAATATATATTAAAATTACAATAAAATTATAAAAGAAATGACAATATTTTATTCATTTAGATCAATAATTCTTATCAATGATATACGCATTAACACAAATTTATAATCTTTTTATATATTATATTAAAAAATAAAAAAAAAAGATTATTAGATACAATTTACAATACTGGTGTGCTTAATTGTACCCATAAATTTGTAAATCATAACTTTAAATTAAAATTAAAAATTGTAACAAAAATTAAGTTCTATTTTCTATGTAACTTTTTAGTCTTGACATTTAAATGTAACTTTCAGGGAAGTAGACATCATCTTTAATAAAGTATTATATCCAGTTGCTCGCGCAATCCAAGTAGCTCAATTAGTAGGACATAAAGTGGCACAGGAATGGTTTTATAATCTTAACAATCCGTTTCAGTCGACTTTTTGGTTTAATGAAGGTCTTACTGGATTGCTTGCAACAATTGCTGTCGATAAGGTAATTCTATTTTCAACGCTATCTCGCTCCCACTTTCTTGAAAATAATAACAAACTTAAGCATTTATATTGCAAGATGTTTGTATATCAAATTTTATTTACAAAATGCACATAAATTCTTTGTAAATTATCTTAGAAATATTTAACATTATATATAATACTAATCTGTTTTCTAATATATATTTTTTTCACTCTGTTACATACATATAATTATAATAAAGTAAAGTATTAAAACTTTTATTTTTTAACACTTTTTATTAAATATTTTTGAATTTTTATGAAATCTAAGATAAAATTAATTAATTAAAAATAGTACATACGACATTTATTTTAATTGGTTTGATACAGAGAACTCTGCTATATAATATTATGACATAATTATTTTAAAAGTATATAAAATTTAATTGCTAATTATATCAATACAAAATTTTAGATTTATTATATTTATTTATATGTGTTTTATTAAAATGAGAAAATTTTCTAATTAACAAAGAAGTAACGTTAATATATTATTAGTATTTGTTTCTATTGCAAGTATTTTCTAAACAATTATATCAATAAATTTAATAATTTTTTTATAGATGAATCCAAGATATCGAATAATGAATTTATTTGTTGTTCAAAATCAACATAATTCTTTTTCTTTGGATGGTGATTATCATATGTGGAATTCTTCTTTACGAGATGATAGTTTATTTAACATTCGCAAATCCATCAGGGGTAAGACGTAATATAATAAAATAGTCCGCGTAAATTTTTAATGATTAAAATTATAAAAATGTATAAAAATTATAAAATAATTACTTTTTTTTTATCTTAATAATATATTAATTTTATAAAAATACACAAACAATATAGATGTGTGTATGTAATTTGCAACTAACAGCTACATAATTTTCTTCCAAAATAATGCGGTTTTATGCTAAAATATTGATTATTCTCATTATTTTATATACAAAATTATTAAGATATGATCGAGGAAAAATAAATATTTTTGAGATATATTTACGTTTATGTAAAATAATGTGTTAGAAGTAAAAAATAACCTACAAAATATTCTCTTTATAATTATCTTATCCTTACAACTTATTGTTTCGATAATAAATATTGCGAGAAATCGATTTATAAAAAAATTACGGTAGATCCTTTCAAAAGAATTAAGTGAATACTATTTAACCAAAAAACTTGGCCTTTTGCAGTAGTGTTTACTTGTTTAGAAATAATACATCTTTTATATAAAACGTTTTCCTCTAATATAAATTATTCTAGAAATCATTGTAAGAACATTTTATATTGAAATAGTTTGTGTATATGTATATATATATTCCATATATACGTAAATGTATTGAAATATGATTACCGCAAACTGAATAAATTTGCAGGATATTTTACACTTTGTCAAAAAATTGTTCACTTCTAACTTTTATAACTCAAAAATTATTTAATTAAATTGATCCCTTAATGTCTTGCTATCTTCGTCAGATTTAACGAGAAATTCCATTTCACTGTTACGCGATTACTACTTTGTATACATATAAAATTTAATTTCTCTTTATAATCATTATGTTTACATGTAACCTTTAAAATAATTACATATTTATAATATATCTAATTTATAATTTTGATGTAATTTCTAGCACCCTTTTTACTGCGCATGGTACAACACGCCTTCACCGAAGAATTATTTTGGAAAAGCGTCCGCCCATATGCATTTGACAAGTAAGTAATATAATATAGAATATAATTTAAAAAAATTAATATGTGTAAACCTTAAATAATTTATAATAATGCCAGTTTTGTAAAATGTCCTTTATATTTTAGCTTCTGACATTATATTATATTTTTTTTAATTCTACAAGTTTTAAGTTTTTCTTTATTTTTCTAGCTCCTGTATTAGATTTATATTTAATTTCATTACTTTTACTACAAAACTGTTTTTGCAGAAAGAAACTGTTGTTTTATCGTTGTGTTTGTCACGTTTTCATTTACACATCCATCGTTGTTCCTTTTATTTTTGTTTCCTGATTTGTTATTTTTTAAAATAATATTTATAATTTATTTTTATTTTTGTTTTATTATTTCTTTTATGTTATATATCGTCTATAATTCTTATAGTTTCTTTTCTTATAATTGCATTTTGTGCTACATTTGTTTTTTAATCTTTTTATTTAATAAATGTTGAAATATATAAAACTTTTTTTAAAAATATATAAAAATTTTTTTCCATTACTTTTCTATCTTTATTTTCGATTTTCGTAAATCAATGTTTTTAATATTATTTGTTTAAATTTTTGTTTTGTCACTTTTAATATGTTTCAAATTTCTTTTAATTATTTTATAACTCTCACAATACTTTGCTTAAAAATAATCTATTATATATTATGTTAATAATATGTCTAATAAATGCCTAAAAAATTTAATAAAATTATTAAATTTTATTTAAAATTGTTATATTCTCTATAATCATATATAATATGAATAATAAATATATATAATATATATATATATTTATATATATATATATATATGTATATATAATTATACAGACAATTTCAACATATTTCTAATGTTCTTTTATATATTTTACATATTGTGTAAATTTAGTCAAAGTTTGCTGCATTTTTTGGAAGAAATTGATACCGCTGTAGGAAAAACACATTTTGCAATTCGAATAATAAATAATTGGCAATTAGAAACGCATTGTCCTATCATAAAAATAATACGTAATCATACAGATGATCATAGTTTGCATTTTGTGAGCGAAGTGATTGTATTGATACAGAATACCGACACATTAAAAATTGACTGCCTTCCTGTAACTTTTACTACGGAAGCGTCTCCCAATTTTAACAATTTTACTAATCATATGTTATGCGTGAAAAAGAATTTAAAATTGTCATTAACATTTAATCAGCCTGGTTGGATGATATTTAATGTACAACAAGTTGGTAAGTCGATGATGCATTTTATTTAATAATATTGACCAAAGGACTTATTATGACTTATTTTTCGTTTTTATTTAACACACACATAATTGACATTATTTTATATTATTATCTATTATATTTATTGTTCTATAAAAATCTGAGATTTTCATTATATAACTATGTTAATTCTTAAATATTGTATGTAATAATCTGCATTATCTATATATAATTATATATATATATATATATATATATATATATAAACTAATAAGTCACCAGTTAATAATTAAAAATGGTATTAATTTCATCAACCATATCTGGCTATGAATAATATTTATTAAAATTTTACGACGTTTCGACCATGGGTTTCAACATTTATCAAGTGCTACATAATACCGCCTTATTATAACAAACATTACTTATTTGATCTTAGGTCATGACGTGATGTAATGTCATGATAATGTGTTACGAACTCACTGTTAGTTGATAAATATTACTTATAGCCAGATATGTTTGATGAAATTATTACCATATATAATTATATGTTATACATTGGTGTTTTCTATTATAATATCAATTAATTTTCAAGTTATATGTTTACAAATATTTTATTCTAATTATAATAAAAATTATAAAAAATTAACAATTTTTATAAAATTAGTGAAACAATAATAACAAGTAAAACATACAATTTTCGTGAAGTTATATGTAACAGAAATTTTACTGATTAATATAAAATAAATATTACATGATTTATGCTCAACTAGAATCAATTTTATTTCATGCTATTTAACAATACCTTGTACAGTTTTATTTTTCATTTTTAATAACTTTTCTACATGTATATGCTTTTTATATACATTAAATTTTTAATACGTTTTCAATATAAATTTATATAAACAAAAGTATAAAACAGACAATTTTTAAAATAAATACAATATAATGTTATAATTATTCAAAACAATAAAAATTGATAACATTTATTTACTATTCGACAGGATATTACCGCGTGAACTACGATGTCGAAAATTGGCAAAGGATTTCACATTATCTACACTCTGAAAATTACACGAAAATTCATGTTCTTAATCGTGCCCAAATTATTGATGATGCATTTCATTTAATGATAGCAGGCCAACTCGGATCATATATATTCTGGGATATCATAGGGTATTTACATCAAGAAGAAGATTATATAGCTTGGTATCCTATGTTTAAAGCTCTGGAATACATGTTCGGTACCTTTTCAGCGTTGGGCGAACAATTTAACAATGTTAAGGTAAATGTTAACAGATTTCAATGAAAATGTTATATTTTAGTTATTTGCATATATACACATTCATTATAAAAAGTTCAAATACTCAAAAAAATATATACCGCAACGATAAACTTTTACATACTATTAATTATGTCGCAAATAAATGTGCAAATAAATTCAGTTAAATGATCACTCACGTGAAGAACAGGTCCCAAAGTGTTTGATTTTTACAACTGCCAATATTATTGATATATATAACATGTTTTTGGATATGTAGCTGGGTGTTTACAATCTTTGTAAATGATTTATAATTATAAAACTTTCTCACAAATTTAATCTAATTTTTGAGGAGAGCCTCAATTGTGTCGCACAGTCCGAGTGTTTATTGAAATAGGTCCGCGGACGCAACATTTTAGGGGATGTTATTTATAGTTCAGCAACATTTGACCACAAATTGCACTTGAGCTAAACGCGGATCTCAAATATATTAATTAACCAGAGAAATAAATATTTAACGATTTTTAGGAAAAAATAAGAGCCATATTATTCGGTATACTTAGAAAAATCCGATACAAAGAAGTTGTTGATCAAGCCTTTCTTAAAAACTGTTTACGATATGAAGCTGCAAGATGGGCATGTTTTTTCGGTGATATCACTTGTAAGAAAGAAGCCAACAATATATTAAAACAATATATCATAGATTTGACATTGCGCGGGTAAATGTTGTTATACATTTTTAATCTTTCTTAATCAAATTTTCTTGTAGGTATCGCTTATAATGTTCAAATAATTTAATCAAAAGATCGATATGTTAAGCTTTAATAAGAAAAATTAATTTTTTTATGTTTTAGTCGATTGCCATGGAAGCAGGAATGGATATATTGTAAAGGTTTGATGATAACTACCATAAACGAAACCACTTGGGAATCAGTGTTTGATATAGGAGTGAATAAATCTGACGCTAATTTTTGGAATACTTGGCTTGCCCTGAAGATATTGATGTCATCGTCTATTATTTAGAAAATAAACGGTACCATTCTATAAAACGGGAATATCAACTTGATGTTAACAGTTTCTTACATATTATTACGAAGCATGCAAAGAATCCAACTATACTGAAGTACATATTAGATCATTTTAATGAAATAAAACCAAAGTAGGGTGACATTTTTATAAATATTGTGTACAGAAGTTAATATGTGTATTATATATACATCTGTTTTTTTTTGTTTTTATAGAGAGATTAATTTCATTGCAGCATTAATTATTATTATTAATAATGATTATTCAGACAATCTTTTTCAGGTAAAAATTTTACTTGATTAAATATGTATACAAAATGTGATAATAATGCGATATTAATTATTATTATTTAACGTTTAAAATAATTTTGATAATGTTAGAAAAATAATGCATTTTAGCGCATATTAGTGTATGTTGCACGTATTTTAAACACTAACTTAGTTGAAGTGAATAACACAGAAGGTTTATTTAAAATACATCAAATAAAAGAGGTAAATTTAATAAATATTATTATGGAAAGCGAAAGAAAGAGAAATATTGTCCAATCTTATCAATTCTTGAATCTTATTTTCACTTATGTCTTATTTGTTTTAAATCAAAAATATTGTTGATTATATTGTGCAAATTTTTTTATTTTATATACAATATTACATTGTTAAAATGCGGAATGAGATTACAATTTGTTTAATTATTTTATAATTAATAAAACGATTTATTTTAGAGTGACATTCTGATAAAGAAGATTAACTTATATGACTACATATTAGACCAGATAATGATTCGGAAGAGTCAAATCAAAAGACAAAAACATTATTATGGAAGATTTTTTGTATAATCTGTGGTTGTAAAAAAATGTCATCTTTGCATACGTGGACATTTTTCATATGAGTAATATTTTATGTTTTATATATACTATTTCTTATACTGCTTTAATTATTGTTTATAATTATTATTTAGATGTATTACTATTCGATGCCACTGTACATTTACAAAACTTTATTTAGTAAGATATGACCTGTATGCATCAATAATATAAATTTAATTATACTTATATTTAAAAAAAAATTTTTTTTTATTCTTTCTCCAAACTAAAATATGCAAAATAACCGTTTAAATAAAAGTTGTATTATTTATGTTAAAAAAATAGATATAAACTAAAAAATCATGCACCTTTGTTGATACTTTAAATAAGTTTATATTAATTTTACCACTTTGTCCTTAGTTTACTTTGTTATAGTAATTATCAACACGGTCTATAATAACTACTGAGACCAAATTTTGAGGTGCTTTGATTGATTCTGATGAAGACTAATTTATTGAGAAAAACCGCATTTCCCATATTATTTAAATGGGAAAATTTCAAGGTAAAGGTAGAACCATTAAATAAAATATATATATAAACATATATATATATCAGGGTGTGTTCAAAAATTTGTTGTTTATTTTTTGCCCGCTGTCCACTAAAGAGTTAACTAATGGAAAAATAATAATTACTCTAACAAACCAATTCTAATTGATTTTATTTAATGATTCCAACTTCCGAAATCGTTATATATACTGAGTGTCCCAGGACCGGCGGCAAAGTTTTAATGGCAGATTTCTGGTATCATTTGGAGACAATTTTTCCTTAGTGAAAATGTTAAGAGAGGTCATCATTTGTAGCTTATTCCTAATTTTTGTTATTATGTATCTTTATAACTATATGCCTTGTATTAGAAATCTATTAAAGCAAACTGTATCTAAAATTAACTGAAAAATGTAGTTCAGTTAATATTTTATATTAGTTTCCAAAAAGCTTTAATTTTCAATTATTATAATTCGAAAATTATAAGTGTCTCAATATTTTCGCTGAGGAAAAATCGTCTCCAAATGATACCATGAATCTGCCATTAAGAATATTTTTGCCAATCCTGGGATATTTTGTGTATATATATATATAACGACCTCTTAAGTTTTGTCGACCTAACAAATATTTATCATGACGACACGTACAGAGAATCAGTCAGCCTTTCGTGGTCTTTTGAACCACATCGTGGTAGATACAATAATTTTAATAAAGTGTGTGTGAATAAATATATTCTTCGACCATTGCATACTGCTAAAGCATTAATTTGCTGCAGTAATTTTAAAAATATATAATTTTTTTCAATATAATTTTGCATTTAACATACTATTCCGAAATATTAGGTAAGTCAAAATAAGTTTAAAATATAAAAACATATATTTGTCTTCAAATACAAAAGAATTTAATCATAGAGTATAACGGAATTTTAAAAAAAGTCTAACAAATAAGCATAAAAAGAATAGTTACATTCAAAATTATCTTGTTATTTTAATCCAGTTATAATTTCAAATAGTGTAATATATTATAATATTTAATGATATGTAATGTTAAAATAATCGTGGATTTACAAATGTTTTATAATAAATTAATTATTATTTAAATTTAAAAATGCTAAAATTTACATAACCAATAATAAATATTATAGACACTTTTAACTATCTTTTTATTATTAAATTATTAAAATTTTATTTTCTACAATTTGTTAAATTTATTTTTTATAAAAAAAATATCTATATGCGTATTTTATTACTTAGAATAATTTTAAGTTGTGCTAACATTAAGTAAAAAATATCTGTTGCCAAGAAAAGGAATTAGATAATTTTGCTGTTAAAGATAACGTATATAATAAAAATAAAATAAAAAAATAGAACAATTGTTATGAGTGTAGACACAGGTATATATGTATGTAAAAATAACGGCTCTTGTGTTTATAAAAATAATTTGTCGCAGCCAAAAAACTTTATACACTACAAATCCTTCTAAATAATATTCTAAAAATTTTAGATGTATATAATCATCTGACAATAAGAATAATTATTTATAGAAATATAAATTATTACAAATCTAATTTTTGTTTATTTCTGTCAATTACAATATGTGCGACTCTGAAATATACACATACCCACACCAACACCTCCCCTTTCCACACACACACACCCGCGCGCGCGCGACACACACACACACACATATATTTTCATATTAAAAGATTGTGCAAATAAAAATTTGCGTATTGCTTCTCCACCATATAATATTTCATTAATTAGAATAGTTCTTCTATTATAAACTTTAATATTTTCATTGTTTTAATTTTTGTTTATATACGAAATTTATTTAAAAATACATTAAAGCTAAATATATATTCTTTATTTATCTTTTCCAGAGTGTGTTTTCGAGATCTCAAATACATATTACTTTTTTCCGACATGATGATATTCTTGAAACTATTATTAAGTAGCGGATTAATTTTTATCGCTGCGACGGCTTTCATTCGTAATGAATCTCGATGTTATGAACCACCAAAATATGTAAAACCAATACATTACGATATCAAGTTTAAATCAGAAATTGAAGAAAATATTTTCTATGGAGAATACAATATCAGCATAAACATTCTTAACAAAACGCAACACATATATTTGCAGTTAGAAAAATTATGTATTTACAATATATATTTATTTACAAATAATAGAAATTATGAGAATGAGAAAGATGCAGTATATAAACCAACATATAATCGTAATGAAGACACAATTAATATTGTCTTTGGAGTTGAATTATCACCAGGAAATTATACTTTATATATAGAATATTCTGGTAAATTTGATAAAAGCTTCGGAATTTTTAATGTGAAAAGAAAAACAACGTATGTAATAAATTTTTAATATTACATTTATACATATTACATTTACATGTTTATTAAATGTTTTAATAATTCATTTTCTTTGAAACATAGTAGGATAGCTGCTCTGCATTTCCACATAATAGGCTCTCAACAATTAATTCCATGTTGGAATTACCAATATTCATTAGAAGCAACATTTAGCATATCTATAAAATGTAATCAATGCGTGGCTTTGTCAAATATGCCATTGCCAAATATTGAAAGAGATAAGAACAATGTGTTATGGACACACTTCAATACCACACGTGCAATATCGCCTAATCTCGTAACAATGCTTCTATCTAATAATCTAATCAATCTTGATGACAAAACTCGAGGAATTAACATGTGGGGCAGACGCGAATCTAGATTAGACATACAATATGCAGAAAGTGTAGCTGAAGATATCACGTTGTATTTTCAAACTTATTGGAATCGTTCTAACAGTATTACGCACGTCACTCATGCTGTAATTCCTAATTTCCATGATAAAAGCATCATAGTATTCGGACTTGTTCTTTATAGGTGAATATAAGTGCTTGAGATTACATAAAAAATAAAATTATATTAGTATGGAAATTTATAAAATTTATAAACATGTACATATAGGTTGTTTTTGTAAACTTTTGAAAGTATGCATGAGAAAAGTTAAAAACAAACAATTTAAATAAAAATTAATTTATTTGCAATATTCTGAAAGTTGAAATTTACCGTTGTAATACGTACATACAGGGAAAAGCATATATGCTAAATCGTACCCTCTACAATAAATATTAAAATTACAATAGAATTATAAAAGAAATCACAATATTTTATTCATTTAGACCAATAATTCTTATCAATGATATACGTATTAACACAAATTTGTAATCTTTTTATATATTAAATTAAAAATTAAAAAAAAAAATTATTAGACAATTTACAATACTGGTGTGCTAAATTGTACCCATGAGTTTGTAAATCGTAACTTTAGATTAAAATTAAAAATTGTAACAAAAATTAAGTTTTATTTTTTATGTAACTTTTCAGTCTTGACATTTAAATGTAACTTTCAGGGAAGTAGATATCATCTTTAATACAGTATTATATCCAGTTGCTCGCGCAATCCAAGTAGCTCAATTAGTAGGACATAAAGTGGCACAGGAATGGTTTTATAATCTTAACAATCCGTTTCGGTCGACTTTTTGGTTTAATGAAGGTCTTACTGGATTGCTTGCAACAATTGCTGTCGATAAGGTAATTCTATTTTTAACGCTATCTCGCTCCCACTTTCTCAAAAATGATAACAAACTTAAGCATTTATATTGCAAGATGTTCGTATATCAAATTTTATTTACAAAATGCACATAAATTTTTTGTAAATTATCTTAGAAATATTTAATATTATATAAAATACTAATCTGTTTTCTAAAAAATATTTTTCTCACTCTGTTACATACATATAATTATAATAAAGTAAATTATTAAAACTTTTATTTTTTAACACCTTTTTATTAAATATTTTAGAATTTATATAAAATCTAGAATTAAATTAATTAATTAAAAATAGTACACACGATATTTATTTTAATTAGTTTGATAAAGAGAACTCTGCTACATAATATCATGACATAATTATTTTTAAAGTATACAATATTTAATTGCTAATTATATTAATACAAAATTTTAGATATATTATATTTATTTATGTTTTTTTTTTAAATTTTCTAATTAACATATAAAGAACATTAATATAATATTAGTATTTGGTACTATTGCAAGTATTTTCCAAACAGTTATATCGATATATTTAATAATTTTTTTATAGATTTATCCAAGATATCGAATAATGAATTTATTTGTTGTTCAAAATCAACATAATTCTTTTTCTTTGGATAGTGATTATCATATGTGGAATTCTTCTGTACGAGATGATAGTTTATTTAACATTCGCAAATCCATCAGGGGTAAGACGTAATATAATAAAATAATCCGCGTAAATTTTTTAATCATTGAAATTATAAAAATGTGTAAAAGTTGTAAGATAATTACTTTTATTTTCTTATTAATAATATATCAATTTTATAAAAATGCACAAACAATATAGATGTGTGTATGTAATTTGAAACTAACAGCTCTACATAGTTTTCTTCCAAAATAATATGGTTTTATGCTAAAATATTGATTATTCTCAGTATTTTATATACAAAATTATTAAGATATGACAAGGAAAAATGAATATTTTTTGAGATATATTTACGTTTATGTAAAATAATGTGTTAGAGGTATAAAATATCCTACAAAATATTTTCTTTATGATTATTTTATTCTTACAACTTATTGTTTCAATAATGAATATTGCGAGAAATCGATATATAAAAAAATTAAAGTAAATCCATTCAAAAAAATTAAGTGAATTTTATATGACCGTAAAACTTGACCTTTTAAAAAATGTCAGTAGTGTTTACTTGTTTCTTATTAGAAATCATACAATTTTTATATAAAACGTTTCTCTCCAAAATAAATTGTTCAAGAAATCATTGTAAGGACATTTAATAATAAAATAGTTTGTATATATGTATGTATATATTTCATATATACGTAAATGTATTGAAATATGATTACCGCAAACTGAATGATTTTGCAGGATATTTTACATTTTGTCAAAAAATCTTTAACTTCTAACCTTTATAACTCGAAAATTATTTAATTAAATTGATCCTTTAATGTCTTGCTATCTTCGTCAGAATTAAAGAGAAATTTCATTTCACTGTTACGCGATTACTACCTTGTATACATATAAAATTTAATTTCTTTTTATAATCATTATGTTTACATGTAACATTTAAAATAATTAAATATTTATAATATTTCTAATTTATAATTTTGATATAAATTGTAGCACCTTTTTTACTGCGCATGATACAACACGCCTTAACCGAAGAATTATTTTGGAAAAGCGTCCTCCCATATGCATTTAGCAAGTAAGTGATATAATATAGAATATAAATTAAAAAAAAATAAAATTGTGTAAACCCTAAATAATTTATAATAATATTAGTTTTGTAAAATGTATTTTATTTTTCAGCTTCTGACATTATTTCAGAGTTTCTTTAGTTTAACAAGTTTTTAGTTTTTTTTTTATTTTTCTAGCTCCTGTATTAGATTTATATTTGATTTCATTACTTTTACTACAAAACTGCTTTTGCAGAAAGAAACTGTTGTTTTATCGTTGTGTTTGTCACTTTTTCATTTACATATCTATTGTTGTCCCTTTTATTATTGTTTCCTGATTTGTTATTTTTTAAAATAATATTTATAAATTATTATTATTATTTTTTATTATTTTTTTTATGTTTTATATCGTCTATAATTTTTGTAATTTTGTTTCTTATAATTGCATTTTGTGCTACATTTGTTGTTTATGTTTTTTATTTAATAGATTTTTAAATATATAAAATTTATATTTTTTTCCATTACTTCTCTGTCTTTATTTTCGACTTTTGTAAATCAATGTTTTTTATATTAATTGTTTAAATTCTTGTTTTGTCACTTCCAATGTGTTTTATTTTTCTTTTAATTATTTCATAACTCTTTTAATACTTTGCTTAAAGATAATCTATTATATATTATGCTAATAATGCATAAAAAATTTAATAAAATTATTAAATTTTATTCAAAATTGTTATATTCTCTATAATCATAATATAAATAATAAATATATATAAATATATATATATATATGTATATATAATTATACAGACAATTTCAACATATTTCTAATGTTCTTTTATATATTTTACATATTGTGTAAATTTAGTCAAAGTTTGCTGCATTTTTTGGAAGAAATTGATACCGCTGTAGGAAAAACACATTTTGCAATTCGAATAATAAATAATTGGCAATTAGAAACGCATTGTCCTATCATAAAAATAATACGTAATCATACAGATGATCATAGTTTGCATTTTGTGAGCGAAGTGATTGTATTGATACAGAATACCGACACATTAAAAATTGACTGCCTTCCTGTAACTTTTACTACGGAAGCGTCTCCCAATTTTAACAATTTTACTCATCATATGTTATGCGTGAAAAAGAATTTAAAATTATCATTAGCATTTAATCAGCCTGGTTGGATGATATTCAATGTACAACAAGTTGGTAAGTCGATAATGTATTTTATTTAATAATATCGACCAAGGAATTTATTATGACTTATTTCTCGTCTTTATTTTACACACACATAATTGACATTATTCTATATTATTATCTATTATATTTATTGTTCTATAAAAATCTGAGATATTCATTATATAACTATGTTAATTCTTAAATATTTTATGTAATAATCTGCATTATCTATATATAATTATATATATATATATAAACTAAGAAGTCACCAGTTAATAATTAAAAATGGTATTAATTTCATCAACCATATCTGGCTATGAATAATATTTATTAAAATTTTATGACGTTTCGACCATGGGTTTTAACCCTTATCAAGTGCTACATAATACCGCCTTATTATAACAAACACTACTTATTTGATCTTAAGTCATGACGTGATGTAATGTCATGATAATGTGTTACGAACTCACTGTTAGTTAATAAATATTACTTATAGCCAGATATGTTTGATGAAATTATTACCATATATAATTATATGTTATACATTGGTGTTTTCTATTATAATATCAATTAATTTTCAAGTTATATGTTTACAAATATTTTATTCTAATTATAATAAAAATTATAAAAAATTAACAATTTTTATAAAATTAGTGAAACAATAATAACAAGTAAAACATACAATTTTTGTGAAGTTATATGTTACAGAAATTTTACTGATTAATATAAAATAAATATTACATGATTTATGATCAATTAGAATCAATTTTATTTTATGCTATTTAACAATATCTTGTACAATTTTATTTTTCATTTGTAATAACTTTTCTACATGTATATGCTTTTTATATACATTAAATTTTTAATACGTTGTTAATATAAATTTACATAAACAAAAGTATGAAACAGACATTTTTGGAAATAAATACAATATAATGTTATCATAATTTTATAATTATTCAAAACAATAAAAATTGTTAACATTTATATTCTATTCGACAGGATATTACCGCGTGAACTACGATATCGAGAATTGGCAAAGGATTTCACATTATCTACACTCTGAAAATTACACGAAAATTCATGTTCTTAATCGTGCCCAAATTATTGATGATGCATTTCATTTAATGATAGCAGACCAACTCGGATCATATATATTCTGGGATATCATAGGGTATTTACATCAAGAAGAAGATTATATAGCTTGGTATCCTATGTTTAAAGCTCTGGAATACATGTTCGGTACCTTTTCAGCGTTTGGCGAACAATGTAACAATGTTAAGGTAAATGTTAATAGATTTCAATGAAAGTGTTATATTTCAGTTATTTGCATATATACATTCATTCACTACAAGAAGTTCAAATACTCAGAAAAATATATAATATACCGCAACGATAAACTTTTGCATACTATTAATTATGTTGCAAATAAATGTGCAAATAAATTAAATTAAATGATTACTCACGTGAAGAACAGGACCCAAAGTGTTTGATTTTCACTACTGCCAATATTATTGATATATATGACATTGTTTTTGATTATTGGATATGGTGTTTACAATCTTTGTCAATGATTTATACTTATAAACATTTCTTACAAATTTAATCTAATTTTTGAGGAGAGGTCCAATTGTGTCGCACGGTTTGAGTGTTTATTAAAATCGGTCCGCGGACGCAACATTTTAGGGAATATAATTCATAGTCCAGGGACGTTCGACCAAAAGTTGCACTTGAGCTAAACGCAAATCTAAAATATATTAATTAACCAGAGAAATAAATATTTAACGATTTTTAGGAAAGAATAAGAGCCATATTATTCGATGTACTTAGAAAAATCCGATACGAAGTTGTTGATCAAGCCTTTCTTAGAAACTGTTTACGATATGAAGCTGCAAGATGGGCATGTTTTTTCGGTGATATCACTTGTAAGAAAGAAGCCAACAATAAATTAAAACAATATATCATAGATATAAAATTGCGCAGGTAAATATTGTTATAAATTTTTAACCTTTTTTATTCAAATTTTCTTGTAGGTATCGCTTATAATGTTCAAATAATTTAATCAAAAAATCGATATGTTAAGCTTTAATAAGAAAAATTAATTTTTTTATGTTTTAGTTTTTTGCCATGGCAGCAGGAATGGATATATTGTAATGGTTTGATGATAACTACCATAAACGAGACCACTTGGGAATTAGTGTTTGCTATAGGAGTGTTTAAATCTGACGCTAAATTTTTGGAATACTTGGCTTGCCCTGAAGATATTGATGTCATCATCTATTATTTAAAAAATAAACGGTACCATTCTATAAAACGGGAATATCAACTTGATGTTAACAGTTTCTTACATATTATTACGAAGCATGCAAAGAATCCAACTATACTAAAGTATATATTAGATCATTTTAATGAAGTAAAACCAAAGTAAGGTGACATTTTTATAATTATTGTATATAGAAGTTTATTATGTGTATTATATATACATCTGTTTTTTATTTTTATAGAGAGATTAATATAATTGCAGCATTAATTATTATTATTAATAATAATTATTCCGACAATTTATTACAGGTAAAAATTTTACTTGTTTAAATATGTATACAAAATGTGATAATAATGCGATATTAATTATTATTATTTAACGTTTAAAATAATTTTGATAATGTTAGAAAAATAATGCATTGTAGCGAATATTAGTGTATGTTGGACGTATTTTCGACGCTAACGTAATTAAAGTGAATAACACAGAATGTTTATTTGAAATACATCAAATAAAAGAGGTAAATTTAATAAATATTATTATGGAAAGCGAAAGAAAGAGAAATATTGTCCAATCTTATCAATTCTTGAATCTTATTTTCACTTATGTCTTATTTGTTTTAAATCAAATATATTGTTGATTATATTGTGCAAATTTTTTTTATTTTATATACAATATTACATTGTTAAAATGCGGAATGAGATTACAATTTGTTTAATTATTTTATAATTAATAAAACGATTTATTTTAGAGTGACATTTTGATAAAGAAGATTAACTTATATGACTACATATTAAGACAAATTAGTAATCGGAACGGTCAAATCAGAAGACGAAAGCAGTATTTTGAAAGATTTATTCTATAATGTGTCGTTATCAAAAATGTCATCTTTGCATACGTGGACATACTTCATATAAGTAATGTTTATGTTATATATTTACTATTTTATTTACTGCTTTAATTATTGTTTATAATTATTATTTAGATGTATTACTATTCGATGCCTCTGTACATTTACAAAACTTTATTTAGTAAGATCTGACTGCATGCATCAATAATAAAAATTTAATTATACTTATATTTAAAAAAAAAATTTTTTTTTTTTTTTGCAAACTAAAATATGCGAAATAACCGTTTAAATAATAATCATATTATTTATGTTAAAAAAATAAATAAAAATAAAAAATGCAAAAATCATGCACTTTTTTAATACTTTAAATAAGTTTATATTTATTTTACCACTTCGTCCTTAGTTTACTTTATTATAGTAATTATCAACACGGTCTATAGTAACTACTGAGACCAAATTTTGAGGTGTGTTAATTGATTTTGATAAAGACTAATTTATTGAGAAAAACCGCATTTCCCATATTATTTAAATGGGAAAATTTCAAGGTAAAAGTAGAACCATTAAATAAAATATATATATAAACATATATATGTTTATATATATATATATATATATATATATATATATATATATATATATCGAGATGTGTCCAAAAATTTGTTGTTTATTTTTTGCCCGCTGTCCAACTACAGAGTAAACTAATGGAAAGATAATAATTACCCTAACGAGCTTAATTCTATTTGATTTTATTTAATGATTTCAACTTTGGAGGCCGTTATATATACAGGGTGTTCCAGAAACTGGCGGTAAAGTTTTAATGGCAGATTTCTGGTATCATTTGGAGACAATTTTTCCTTAGTGAAAATGTTAAGAGAGGTCATCATTTGTAGCATATTCCTAATTTTTGTTATTATGTATTCTTATAACTATATGCCTTGTATTAAAATTCTATTAAAACAAACTCTATCTAAAATTATATTTTATAATGCTAATTGCTAATTGCTAAATAAAATTATATTGCTCGCGCAATCCAAGTAGCTCAATTAGTAGGACATAAAGTGGCATAGGAATGGTTTTATAATCTCAACAATCCGTTTCAGTCGACTTTTTGGTTTAATGAAGGTCTTACTGAATTGCTTGCAACAATTGCTGTCGATAAGGTAATTCTATTTTTAACGCTATCTCGCTTCCACTTTCTCGAAAAAAATAACAAACTTAAGCATTTATATTGCAAGATGATCGTATATCAACTTCTCTTAACTATTCTTTAGTAAATATATTTTTAGATTTTATGAAATTTAAGATAAAATTAATTAATTAAAAATTGTACACACAATATTTATCTTAATTGGTTCTATAAAAAGAACTCTGCTATATAATATCATGACATAATTATTTTAAAAATACATAATATTTAATTGCTAATTATATATATACAAAATTTTAGATTTATTATATTTATTCATATGTGTTTTTTTTTAAATGAGAAAATTTTCCAATTAACATAAAAGTAACGTTAATATAATATTAGTTAATATAATATTTGTTTCTATTGCAAGTATTTTCCAAACAATTATATCGATATATTTATCCAATATATCGAATAATGAATTTATTTGTTGTTCAAAATCAACATAATTCTTTTTCTTTGGTGATTTCTTTGGTGGATGGTGATTATCATATGTGGAATTCTCTTTTACGAGATGATAGTTTATTTAACATTCGCAAATCCATCAGGGGTAAGACGTAATATAATAAAATAGTCCGCGTAAATTTTTAATTATTGAAATTATAAAAATGTGTAAAAGTTGTAAGATAATTACTTTTATTTTCATATTAATAATATATTAATTTTATAAAAGTGCACAAACAATATAGATGTGTGTATGTAATTTGCAACTAACAGCTCTACATAATTTTCTTCCAAAATAATATGGTTTTATGCTAAAATATTGATTATTTTCATTATTTTATATACAAAATTATTAAGATATGACGAGGAAAAATGAATATTTTTTGAGATATATTTACGTTTATGTAAAATAATGTGTTAGAGGTATAAAATATTCTACAAAATATTTTCTTTATGATTATTTTATTCTTACAACTTATTGTTTCAATAATGAATATTGCGAGAAATCGATATATAAAAAAATTAAGGTAAATCCATTCAAAAAAATTAAGTGAATTTTATATGACCATAAAACTTGACCTTTTAAAAAAAGTCAGTAGTGTTTACTTGTTTCTTATTAGAAATCATACAATTTTTATATAAAACGTTTCTCTCCAAAATAAATTGTTCAAGAAATCATTGTAAGGACATTTAATAATAAAATAGTTTGTATATATGTATGTACATATTTCATATATACGTAAATGTATTGAAATATGATTACGGCAAACTGAATAATTTTGCAGGATATTTTACATTTTGTCAAAAAATCTTTAACTTCTAACCTTTATAACTCGAAAATTATTTAATTAAATTGATCCTTTAATGTCTTGCTATCTTCGTCAGAATTAAAGAAAAATTTTATTTCACTGTTACGCGATTACTACCTTGTATACATATAAAATTTAATTTCTTTTTATAATCATTATGTTTATATGTAACATTTAAAATAATTAAATATTTATAATATATTTAATTTATAATTTTGATGTAAATTGTAGCACCCTTTTTACTGTGCATGGTACAACACGCCTTCACCGAAGAATTATTTTGGAAAAGCGTCCTCCCATATGCATTTGGCAAGTAAGTAATATAATATAGAATATAAATTTAAAAAAAATAAAATTGTGTAAACCCTAAATAATTTATAATAATACCAGTTTTGTAAAATGTCTTTTATTTTTCAGCTTCTGACATTATTTCAATTTTTTTAGTTCCACAAGTTTTTAGTTTTTCATTATTTTTCTAGCTCCTGTATTAGATTTATATTTGATTTCATTACTTTTACTACGAAACTGCTTTTGCAGAAAGAAACTGTTGTTTTATCGTTGTGTTTGTCAATTTTTCATTTACATATCTATTGTTGTTCCTTTTATTTTTGTTTCCTGATTTATTATTTTTTAAAATAATATTTATAAATTATTATTATTTTTTGTATTATTTCCTTCATGTTTTATATCATCTATAATTCTTATAATTTCTTTTCTTATAATTGCATTTTGTGCTACATTTGTTTTATAATTTTCTTATTTAATAGGTTTTTAAATATATAAAACTTATATTTTTTTCCTTTACTTCTCTATCTTTATTTTCGACTTTTGTAAATCAATGTTTTTTATTTTAATTGTTTAAATTTTTGTTTTGTCACTTCCAATTTGCTTTATTTTTTTTTAATTATTTTATAACTTTTTTAATACTTTGCTTAAAGATAATATATTCTATATTATGCTAGTAATGCCTAAAAAATTGAATAAAATTTTAAATTTTATTCAAAATTGTTATATTCCTTATTATCATAATATAAATATAATATATATAATATATATATATATATATATAATTATACAAACAATTTTAACATATTTCTAATGTTCTTTTATATATTTTACATTTTGTGTAAATTTAGCCAAAGTTTGCTGCATTTTTTGGAAGAAATTGATACTGCTGTAGGAAAAACACATTTTGCAATTCGAATAATAAATAATAGGCAATTGGAAACGCATTGTCCTATCATAAAAATAATACGAAATCATACAGATTATCATAGTTTGTATTTTGTGAGCGAAGTGAATGTATTGATACAGAATACCGACACATTAAAAATCGACTGTCTTCCTGTAACTTTTACTACGGAAGCGTCTCCCAATTTTAACAATTTTACTCATCATATGTTATGCTCATCATATTACTCATCATATGTAATTCATGAGATAATTTCTGGGTAATTTTAAATTCGAAATGTTCAAGATAAAGACAGAGATAGAAAAAAGGTGTATAATTAAGATAAAATAATCTTAATATACCACTCATATCTATAACATACAATTAAAATTATAATAGTTGCGCATTTTTTAGTTAACAAAATACTTATTTTTAATAAATATAAAATAATAATAAAAGCAAACACAGATAGATACTTTAAGTCTCCATTGAATCATTTTTTGTCAGCAAATGACTTGCTGATAATATGCCTTGCATATAATTAATCGAAATTATTTAACGACATAGAAATATAGGTTAAAGAGAAATGTTAGAGATCATTGAAAAAAATATATGTATATCGCGATTCATGTACAGGCTTCCTGTTTCTATAAATTATTTTTTTATAATTCAATCAATTAAAAATCTTGCGTGTAACAAATTAAATTAAATGATTATGAGATGCTTGGATTTCTATTTTATTTAGGTGTACTCTGCATTTTTTCTTCTTTAAAAAAGAAATATATAATATTAATATTAATATTAATAGTAATAGTAATATTAATATTAATTTATATATAATATAAATTTTATAAATAATATATAATATAAATAGTAATATTAATTTCTTTCAAGTGTGAAAAAATTCGGAGCTGTAATTAGAAAGAAGAGGATTAACGTGATTAAGTTGGAAAATGAGACTAAAACACATTTTTAATTTCAAGCATCGAGCGATATCACTTTTTTTAACAATTTCCGCTACAATATATCTATGTGTGTGTAGCGATGAATGCCTCATTTATACAGATGATATATTCCGCCTGCTAATCGATTTTTCTCCAAATCTCGAGGCCGGATGATTCAACGCGATCGCTCTCTTATCGTGAATTTATCGAGCGACTTAATTGCGAGCCGATCGCCAACAAAGAACACGACAGATGAGTTATGTGTCATGACTGCGGACTATCGTTAATATATTATAATAAAAACAAGAGTATGTACGTGTACTTATATATATATATATATATATATATATATATATATATATATATATCAAAGCTAGTTTTAGGCCCCAGCGAATCTGGGAAAGCAAGTAAAACTCGATATTGGGGAAAAGTTTATGTGCATCTTCCCCTTATATGCTTTGAGAATATTAAAAACGAGAACTTTTTATTAAGGCACTTTTATGACCGGAAACGCACACCTTTTTGCCACTTATGTGTCGCTGGAGCAGGAGGAGAAAAAAGGGATGAGAGTATCGCGCGAAAATATTTTTTATCTTCTATTCGTGTGAGAAATATACAAAATCTCTCTCGAAAGTCCTTTTAAATTAGAAAGACATTTTTATTTTTCAATGTTTATTTTACACATATAATTAACAAAATTGGGATTTGAAGTTTGATTTGATCAAAATAGCAAATTATGAAGTACCTATAAATTTTTTATTGGAGAAAATTTTATAATTTTTTAAATAATTCTTTCTGTGTTTCTAATTGTCATTTATATTAAAAATAGGGTTTTTTGTATTATCAACTGTCAGTATTATCAATGGTTAGTAAAATGTGAGAAGAGAGAGATTTTGAACTTTACAATATAAAACTCTTAGCTAATTATTAGCCAGTTTTAAAATAATTTTTTATTTATTTCATAAAATAAAAATAATGGCATTAAGTAATTTTTCTAAAAACTTATATAACATGATTGTAATGTAATAATGTCAGCTAATTTTTATATTTTTTTAAATAATTTTTATTATATATTACATATAATTACATTGTATATTTAAAAATCTTATAAAATTATTACGACAATATTGTTCGCGAAAAATTTATATTATAAAATATAAGAGATACGATACTTACTATTGTTTATAAGAAAGAAAGAAATATATTATTATGTAAATCATCGTTCATCTATAAGAAATATCGAGGAATATGAGGCGGAATGAATGGAATAAAAGACAAGTCGTCGATCATTGAAATATACCAAAAATTTATTTACATAAAAACATGAATATAATACCTATAATTATATATTTCAACTGCTGCGCATTTCTTTGTTCGTCCGGTAGAGTCCATATCTAAACAACTGGCGTCGAGAGTCACAGAAATAATGATATTGTCGCAATTTCTTCCTTTTTTTTTTTTAAACACACCTGCACAAAGAATGTATCCAACTTGCAATCATCTAAGGGTCTAAATAAGTAATTAAGCTATATCGAAATCGATTTTTTTTTGCACAAACGCAACAACGTCCTCGCGATAACTGATCGAGGAGCGATCTCTCTATAAATTGATTAAATTAATTTTATGCAGCCCATACGCAAGGCTCGAAAGCTCGAAAAAATCTTACACTCGTCCCCTCGTTTCTCTTCTCATTAAATAACGCAAATGTGTCTACATCGTTGACAACAATTTTTTTTGCTCTCGTGGTGCCTCAATATTGTTACAAATATTATTTACAGATTTATACGTACAATTTAGAATATATAAATCAGAAAAAGATACGCTACGACATACAATATATAAATCAGGATCGATTTTTTATTCGTCCTTATTTTCGAAAAAATAACGCAATTATTTAAACATTTGTCTCGTATACATTAAACTTGCTCGTAGAAGCTGATTTCATGGAACAAAACGAAGATTATTCTTAACTTTACAAATGTCGACGTAATCGATTATAAAAAAAAAAATACAATTAATCGAAGTATTAATTATTCCTGATAATAATTGGTACAATATCGATATTTCGAAGTTCCTAATCAACTTATTCTTTTCTTATTTAATTGCACTGATCTCGAGAGCTTATATTAATCAAATGAAAAATTATTTACTCGAACGAGAGAACGATTAATTAAACACTTTCGTTCCAAAAATTAAGTGACAGGCAGCATCGAATATTACAGCTACCTGCATTAAAATGCATCGGTCGTATTTATTCTCAGCTCGGCGAAAATTTCTTAAAAAAAAATGTACGAGTACAAAAGAGAAGCACGCCAGTTTATATTATATTCCCGAATATCAGTTCGCTTGGATGATAAATCGGCGCAGCGTGTTACATTTGATTATATCAAAATAAAATTACAATAAAAGACAGAAAAATTTGTTTCATCACCTCGAAACAGATTTAAAAAAAAGTTAATAAAATTACATTAGAATAATTGAAAAAAAAGTTTAACGTAAAGTGTACCGAATACATTGAAATCTCTTTTGACGAGAGAAAAAAAAATGTCCAAGCATAGAGGAACCGACACTCCGCTTTACTCGTTGAAAAAGAAACATTTTTTTCGAAATTTTCGCATATATAGTATATGAAAAGTCATCCTCAGTCTGGCACACACATTCAGGCTTAGTCTCCGTAAAATATCTCGGTATATTAGTCTCAAAAATGCATTTATATATTTATTATTGGTTCAGTTTGATTAAACCGCGCGCTCGTAATATGTGCGGGAAATACAATGAAAATCGATCACACCACATGTCGACGGTTTTTCCGCTTTTCCAAGTTAGTCTTTCGGCTTATTATTATTATTATGTAATAACTCGCGATTTGTGTGTTCTTTTTTTTTCTTAGTTTCGTAGCTCGCTCGAGAGAGCCTTTTGACGGGGCGAAAAATCGGGTGCGAATATATGTATATATATATCTCCTTCGAGGAGGAAGTGGAGGAAAAGTTTTTCGCGCACAGGCACGGCGTGAAAAAGATGCTTTAAAAATTCGGTTCGCGTATAAATACGTGTATAAATGTTTTATAAAATCGGGAAGAGAGGGTCCTCACGCGCGGACACATTTTATCTTTTTAGAAAATTGGGAAAAATTCGATAAATGGTATCCAAAAACTGGTGATTTGCTAAGATGAGAGTTCGAGATGTGGCGAAATATTTTTGCGTATTAAAATGATGACGTTTGTTCTTACGAAATACTTTCTACGCATACAAACAGGCTCCCTCGAGTGATTTCTTTTTACACATATATCAAAAATTCGACGATACAGATGCTCTTCTCCGTAAAATCGAAAAGTCATGTGAAACCTTCTTCGAAAACGTGATACAAATCGAGATATAAAAACTACGTCAGCTACGCAACCTCGGAAAGGCTCAGCTAGTCGTTGCTGAAGATGATCATCATCATCATCATCATCATCATCATCATCATCATCATCATCATCATCATCATCATCATTATCATCATTATCATTATCATTATCATTATCATCATCATCATCATCATCATCATCATCATTATCATCGTCATCGTCATCGTCGTCATCATCATCATCATCATCATCATCATCATCATCATCATCATCATCATCATCATCATCATCATATCATCATCATCATCATTATCGTCATCATCATTATCATCATCGTCATCGTCATCGGTGATTACATCTTCTTTGCCATTGACGATCTTGACAAACACGTTCAAGGCGCACATATTTCGCTTCCTTGCAACATCCTTATTCGATTCTAGAAATCGGACACTCGAAATGAGAAATAATCCTGCCAAGATGAACCAAAGCCCAGAATATAAGGATGATTGATAAAGCGCGACGTTCATCCTGGCAGCTCTACTTCAAGTATTTAAAGTACTTGTTCTATCTATCTAGACTCTAGAATCCCTCTGGACACTATCGATGATTATCGGAAAGTTTCGTTATCTCTCTCGTTTTTTGTTTTCAATCTTCAGCTGACTCTCGGATCAATGTCTCTCGGTTTTTTACTCCCTCGTCGAACGAAAAAGCACCGCATCAAAACGAGATCTACTTGACGACGAGCGAGAAAGAGTTTATCGTTACGTCATTCCCACGTTCGGCTACGGATCGCATCATCCAAATCATCATATCGTATGATACAACTACACGTTACAGCACATCAAGTCGATATACCGATGTAAAATGTGGTCTCGCGTTATTTACTCAGTTTTATATGTATATACATATATATCTATATGCACAAGGGATGTGATCGCAATTGGACGCATGCTTGCACGAAAGGAGTCCGGCGAAGTTGATCTCTCTTTTCTTTTATGTTTATTCTCTCTTTTTATGTCGCTGCGAAAGAAACAACAAGCGAGGAAATCCGGCTTCCAAACTGAGATCGATTCCGCTTCGCGCGGCGACTTTCCCTCTGCAGTTTATATTAGAATATAATTATATATTCTCCTGTCGTTATCGTAATCTTTGGGAATACAATCCGAATCTTCAAGTAAGCTCTTTAGCTCAAAAAGAAAAAAAAACAGAAAACGAACAAAGAACTTGTCGAATAAAATATATATAATTTTATTCCATTTTTTTTCAAGCATATACGCATCGTAAAATATTTTTGCAATATCCTTGAAGAGCAAATATGAAACTTGGATAAATTATTTATTAAATTAGATAAATCGGACAATTATTGTATATTCAGAGATGATCACTAATTTGAATAAATATTAAACTCGAGAACATTCGAACGGATCATCCGCATATATTATATAGATTACTTCTTTCATAGAATATTTAGATTACTTCTTTTACTTTATATTTAATTTATCACACATCCAAGTATACTTGAGAGAATCGCAGACGCAGAGGCAGTTAGCGGTTATAAAATATGCGTATAACAAAAGAGAACTCGCGCGTTGTGCGTTCTAGTTCGCGTTGCTGGTTCCCTTTTTCCTCCATTTTCCTTGGATCACACGCGAGGATGTACGCGCTTACGGTTTATATCACATCCTTTGTATGTATGTGCGGCAGTATTCCTTGTGTACTAATCGACTTCACTATCGCTGGCTCGTTCAGTTCAATTCGTTGCTTGGCTCGACAGAGCATTCACGTAGCTTCCGGTTTAGCTCCGCTGGCTAGATCAGAGAGCCTTCCGGTAAGGACGGTTCATCGAAAATTCATCCCCTCGTTAATCCTCCGTCGGGACTTCCATCAGTAATCTCATTATTTGTAATCCGAACATCTTCCTCTGATCGAGCGACGCTTGCATAAATTTTCCCTCGATCCAGTCCTTCCCATGGAACTGTTTACGAGCGAAGAGAGAGAGAGAGACGTCCAGAATTCACTTGACAAATATTAACTTCTCTCAATATTCCTCCCAAAGTGGACATCAGCATAAAGTCCGGCAACAAAGTAACGCAGCGAAACTATACAACCTTTCCCTGGCGGTTTCCCCGTCGACGATTCTCCGGAAACAGCAAGGCGCAGCGAACGAACTCGACCTAGAGTCGCCGGCGTGTCCCGGAAGAACGGATGAGAAACTCATTCCTTCCACCAGCCGCAGAGACAGCAGTACCATCGCCTCTCGGGATGGGGCTGGATTATCTGCTATTGTCAGTGCATCGCCCTGGTGGTGAGATGCGTGGTCTCGGCCCGTTTCGGCGGCGGCGGCGGCGGCCTCCTTTTCCCTGCGATCGCGTTCACAATGTTCATGCTGCGATTCTCGTCGGCGAACCTAACCGACGGCTGCCGGGCCGGACTGGAGGCATACTCGACCGGGGCGTGTGGATCCGTCGCGTAAACGTTCTCGTAGAGATTGTCCGCGCCGTAGTGCTCCTGCACCCAGTTGGACACGTTGGTCTCCCTGTAATCCGCGACGGCGGGCGGCGGATCCCGGAAGCCGAGCACCTCGTGCGGCGTCGTCGTCGAGTCCAGCTTGCACTTCTGCGCGACCTGCCACTTCTTCCTCATCACTCGCTGAAGATCCTTCAGAAAGTCGCCCGGCGGCGCCTGGTCGGACGCCGCAAGCTTCTTCGGCGACGTCAGCCTGGTGCTGTCGGACCTCCTGGGTGGTGTCGGCTTTCGCTGTGGCAGAGCTGGACTACCGGAGTCCTGCTGGGGCGGTAGATTAAACGAGATCTTCTTGCCGGTGCCGGTCTTCGACTTGGGCGACGTCGGTGGCTCCTGTATGGTCACCCGGCGCTGAGGTTGAGGACTGGAGGCGGCCTTCAGCTCCGCCAGGTACGGCGGCGTCGCGTAATGCCCGCTTCCTTGCTTCATAGCGCTGCGCCGAACCGTGTCCATGTTGGGATTCGGCCTGATCGGTTGGATCGTGTTGTGGTTGGGCTGATGACTCGCGTACATAGGCTCGACCTTCGAGTTCTGCCTACCGAGGCTTTGGGAATTGACTTGCTGCTGCGGCTGAGTGCCGTAAGCCGGTGGAGGGACAAACGGAGGCGGCGACGCAAAGTTCGGCGAACTCGGGTTGTAAGTCGGCGTGCTCGCCGTCGATCCTGGGTAGGAACTATGCGGAGGGGAGGATACGGAGTTGGCGGTACTATTCGCCGTGCTCGAGTTCTGACTGTTGTTCTGGACCGAGTTGCTGTTCAGCGCGACACTATTGGCGTTCACGTACATCTGATTCGACTGCGGCCTGGGATTGTGCGTAGGGGTGCCTTCGGGAGTTATAGAGTTCGTAGGGGTGGACTGCTTGCTGGGTCTGGCGCGACGTATCGTTCCGGTTTCGCCCACCAGCGGACTGGGCGGCGGCGGCAGCGAGACCAGGCTCAGAGAGGAGCCCGTGAGTTCCGGCGTGTTGCAAACCGGAAGCTCGCCGGGCGCCGGTGGCGGCGGCAGAGAGTCCAAGGAGAGATTCGATCGGAACATCTCGGGTGGCGGCGGCGGAAGCGGCTCGTTGTCGGACTCGACTTCCTCGACGACTCTCGACGGCGATGGTGGCGGCGGCAGTGACGTGATCGAATCCATCTGCGTAATGGAAAACTCGTTATTCCTCTTATCGAGATATAGTCCGAGAGATCACCAAAAAGTCATATACAGGATGTTCCATTTTAATGTCCCATTCCAAATAAATTTTTTTATTTTTGATTGTAGAAAAAAAATGTTTTAGACAAAAGTTGTATGGTTTCAAGAAGGACATAAGGTGGTGCCATTAGTTTGACCTTGATTAGTTGCTTGATAGTTATCTTTAATTTCTTAAATGGAACAACTTACTTTTCATTACATATTCTTGTAGCTGACATCGAGAGCTTTCGAAAACACTATAATGAAACTATTTTTCTCAAGTACTTTTTGAGTTATAAGACAAGATCTCCTCATTTCAAGGTGACCTTTACGTAACCTTCAAGCAACTATTCAAGGTCAAACTAATGGCACCTCCTCGAAACCATACAACTTTTGTCTGAAACATTTTTTTCTACAATCAAAAATAAAAAACTTATTTGGGGTGGGACATTAAAATGGGACACCCTGTATACTCTTCGTTAATATGAAAATTACCCCTGACAGCACACATATCCTGAAGACGTTCGAATGTCCTCTGGATATCTCCTGAATATCTTTCAGAAATGTGTTATTATAGGGACATTAGTATACTCACCATACACGCTTGCATGGGACTCGTCGGTGTCTTGGATTCCTGACTCTCCGACCTGCTGTAGCCCATAGGGCTCGTTCTCTCTCTTACAGGTGTGCCAGGCGGTACTGGACTAACGGGCGTCGCGTTTCCAGATCTATGATGTCTCTTCAGAGTTCCGGATCCGTCGGAATCGGTCCCGCTTCGTCGGCGACTGTGTCTTCTCGTTAGTGTCCCGGATCCCGAGCTCGTCGGACTCGGACAAGAGTCTGGCTCGTCCCGCACAGTCTCGCCGACCTCCTTCAACTGTCTTGTGATCGACGTAAGGGGCAGTTTCGGATTCATAGACGGTTTTCGTTTTATCGTGCCGGTTGGAAACTCGCCGCACTCGAAGGCCACCTATCGGTGCAATTAATAAAAACAACAATAGTTAGAAACAGATAATTATGCAGGTGACTATTTTACAAAAAGCAGCAATGAATAGTTACTTTCGTAGACTTCTCTCATTATTATATCAATCAAATACCTCACAGCTACTCGGTGCCCCGTCAGACAAGCATCCGCTGGAGCTGGAACTGCTCGCTCTGCTGAGCCTGCCGTCAAAGCTTTGCCGTTGTTCCGGATTGTTGTAGCTCTGCCTCTGGCTAGCGTCGTATTGCCTCGTCGAGGAGACGATTGTCGTTTCGTTGCTGTGCTGCCTCACGTTCTCCGCAAACTGCCTCGCGTTGTCGTTCGTCGTGTTGTACTGAGTTTGATTTGGCGGCGTGGCGATGGAGCTGACCGAGCACGATCTGGCGTGAGCCAGCAGATCCAGATCCTCCTGAGCCAACTCGTCCACCAACGCCCGATAGTTCTCCATCAGCTGCCTGCCGTACTTGGCAACGCGAATACCGACCATCCATCGCTCCAGGGAGGTGTTGTCCTCCGCGCAGAGAAACTTGATGTACTTGGTAGACTTGGGCTGCTGCAGTCGCGGGTGCTTGATGGCAAAGCAGAAATCCGTGGGCGCCTTGTATTTCTTTCGCCAACCGACGCCGTAATAAACCTGGTTTAACACAGCATAGTTGTACAATAATATTCTCTATATAAAGAACTAGTAAAGAATTCGTATTTGTAAGTTTTCCAATTTTATTATTTTTAAATAGTCTCTATTTCTAATATCTAATATTTATTCCTAAAATAAGCAAGTAAAAATTATTACCTATCAGACAAGACAGCAAAAATACGAATAGAAAAACTCTTATGTTTAACTTATGTCGATTTAAAAAAAAAGTGACAAAAAGTGACTGGATGGTAGCGCTGATTATTCTCTATATAAGAATGAAGAGTTTTATATAAAAGGAGAAGATATCTGACCAGGTGTCCTAAAATATAATAGAAGAAATACAAACAATTTACAATCGTTGAAGCATTTTTTTACACATGTTGAATTATAACGAACCTGATTAACGTCGAATGTCGCGAGACAAACGAGATCCCGAGCGGTGCGCGCCTTCTCCTTCGGCCAGTAATAAAGACCGGAGGCTCGCAGAATAAAGTGATACCTTTTCCAGCCCTTTTTGCTATCCGACTTCAAGTACAGTGGACCCTCGACCTGGAAGCGAGTCGAGCAATCGATGAAAAAGAGAAGCCAACGCGAATTAGTTATCGGAGTATATACATATATGTACTTTGCTAGGTCTTGGGTTGCCAAGACGCGAGGAGATCGTAAAACACATCGTCTCTTACCTCGGGCACGCCGACGTTGCTGCTCGAGAAGAACTCCTCCAATAGAATGTTTCTCGAGTGATCGTCGTATTCGCCCCCGCCTCGATCCGAGGGACCGAGAAGAAATCGCTCGGGCGTGAGAAATAGCTGGGTCTTATCCGGTCTCTCGACGAAGAGCAGCTTGTTCTTAGAATCTCTGGTCCACAGCAGAAGATTCTCCACCAGTAACTCGTGGTCCTCGTAAACCCTCTCTGAAAGATTCGTCAGCTCATTCGTTACTCGTTCTAAATAATTCGCCTGAGATTTCTGAGTAAATAGCTGAAGAAGTAGTAAAAAAAAGCAGATATTTAATATATTAAATATTATTAAATATAATAGAATTGTGTATTATTATTATATTTTACATATACATATATATTACTACTATACTACTATATTATTATTATACTACTATACTACTATATCATTATTATACCACTATACTATTATTATACTACTATACTACTACTATACTATTATTATACTACTATACTACTATATTATAGTATATACTATACTATACTATATATACTTATATAATATAGTAATAGATACTATACTATACTAATTGTAGTATAATATATTAATATATATATCAATACATATATATATATATATATATATATATATCACTTATATAATATATAATATAGTATAATATATTATACTATGTATTATAAGAAAATAAATAATATAAATATATATTTTTAAATATTATTCATAATAAAAAATTATATATAACAAAATAATAAAATACATAATTACATAAAGTAAAAAAATGTTATATATTAAATATCAAGAAAAGGAGAAAACATAGACTGAGTGTTAACAAATAATTGAAAACCGAGGTCAGCGTTAAAGCCTAATGTAGTGAATAAATATTGTCCGTGGACTATTGCGTCACCAGCTGGCAAGTGACGAAGACGACAGACTCACCCATGAAGAGATCCGGCAGATGCTCGACCACGGCCCATTTCGGATCCATCGGCACGTGGTTCTTGTCCGCGAGCAGCCTGCACACGTGTGCGACGCTCATCCCTTCGTCGACCAGGAGGCTCTTACCGCTTCCGTCCAGCGTGAACGCTTTGATGAAGAGCTTCTGCACGCTCGCCTCGCGCATCTTTTCCAGCGCCAGACGGATCTTCTCCGCCTTCGCTCTGCTCGCTGCATCTGCAACGATAAGAATATCGCGTACAATCGCATCTGCGCAAATATAAGTATCGTACATTTCACTCTCCGAGAGTGTATCATTTAATCGTACATAGGAAAAATATTATGGAGATATATAAGAAAATATGCGTATAACTGTTTAAAAAAATAAAAAATTAAATTAAAAAATAAAAAATAGAACAAAAATATAATGAAATTAAATCGTTCTAAAAGTGGAGACTCACCAACAAGTTGATGCGGCTGCTGTTGAGGGGCTGTGTGTATGGCAGTCTGAGGTGGTTTGTGTCCGGAACCGCTACTGCTTGCCGAACTTTCGCTGGATAACATAGACACCGTGTCTGAGAACGCGCTGTCATTGTCGGGACTATCAGTGCGAATACCTATATAATAAAAGCATGATAAGGGAATCAAAATAGTGCATTAAAAATAGATTGAAAATGTTTTATCTCAAAAACCATCATGTATAAATATTAAGCATTCCATAATAATATATATTCATATGTACATTTTATATAATTCATTTTATATATACATATATTAAGTAAATATTTTATAATACATTTATAAATATATTTTTAAAAGTAAAATATACATTATCACTCTTTCTGTATAAATTATCTCTGTTTTGTAATAAATTATTGTTTTAATTATACAAAAGTGAGAAAATATTGTAAAATTGTGAAAAACATTGTCATGTACCTCCTTCATTTTTGATGTCAGTGCTATCACCCGGATTGATTCTCGCGCTGCTGGGTCGTCCTGGCCTTTGTGCATCTGGCGCAGGAGTGGAGGCAATATCACCGTCACAGCGTCGTTCCAGGGCACACAATTCACCGAGGATCGCGTCCAGATCGACATCCTGGGAATCTGCAAAAATACGGTTCATCGAATTATTTTTAATTTGCATACTTCATATTTTAAGCTGTCATCGTTCCATCAAAAAACGTGATATGCATATTAATTTTTATATAATATTCTTATAATATAATATAATAAATCGTATAATATAATATTCTTATAATATTTTTAATAATTCAATAATATAACATTCTCAATTTATATCATATTTTAATTTTAATATACACTCCTCAAAATAATTAAGGGATCAAAAAATTGTCCACAAAATAAGCAAATTTTAAATAGCTGTAACTTTGTTTTGAAAAATGATAATTTAAATTTTAAAAAGGATTTTAAAGCTTGAAATCTCTACTTTCGAAAGGTCGTAGCTTTTTTAATTTTCTTTAATTCTGATATTTTTTACATACAGAGAATGAACATAACGAAATGGAAAAAATGTTTTCTCACTTTGTAGACATGTCGCATACACAAGAAGATTTGAAAAACAGTTTTTGACATTTTCACGTTAAAGCCTGAAGTTTTCCCTGTAAAATCGTTTTTTAAAATTTAAATTTCGATCTTTCCCTATCAAGTTATCGCAAATTGGATAGAAAATGTCATTTTCACTTTAATCGTTCATAACTCTGTTAAAAATCATCGTACTGCAATTTTAAAAATAGATTCTGAAAGTTGAATCTTTGCTGTATAGTATAATATAAAAATTGAATTTTTTTTAACGCTTGAACTTTTTACAAATAGATGAAAATAACGAAGAAATTCGCGAGTTTTCTCCTTTTTGTTTAAACTTTGCAAAAAAGTTACGTAAAGTAACTAAAATAATTTTATCGACTAAAATTTTTGTGCCTCCTAGTACCTATCCCAAACTTGGTACAAAATCACAGATTTGCTGTGATAATTTCTTTATAGTGAAATAATTAATAAAAAGTTAATTAATTTCTAATTAATTTCGAACATTGTATAACGTGCGTCAAAATTTTATAAAATATTTTTATTTTGTTATACATATATTTTTATATATTATATATATTTATAAATTTTATATATATTTTTATATCAATGCAAAAGGCTTCTGGATGGATGCCGCTATATTTTTATATGTTTATATATTTTTATACTTTATATATATATATATATATATATATATATATATATATTTCAGAATATACATTTTGTATCAATAAGTTACATTAAAAGAGAGATAAGTGCGATATTTATAGCTCGATTATAATCGCGTTGACATTGTGTACACCTTATCGATCGTATGTTTTAAGTCGTATCATTTTAAGTCTGAGAGAGTCTTGCCATGAGATTTCCCGGAAAACGGTGAACGTGCAAATTCGCGAATGCATCCCCGACATCTGCCCTTGTTGCACGCTAATCGTGCAACGGTAATTATCACGAATCCCTATCAACACGTGATAACACATGCACATGCAGAATTCCTGACGATAATTAACGGAATTAACAGCTGGCAACTCGATCGGGTCAGAAACAAGACGTCTTTCGCGCTTGTATCCACTTGGGAAAACAACGAATATGATGATCGAAAATTTATATTTCCCTGTACATAATATATATTATATGAATCCTCCGTTATGTTATGTCGTATTTCGTAAAAATCAGTAAACAAGATCTACCCAAAGTCTCTCTTCTTCTCCCGATGTTATCAAAGACAGAGATTGCAGACTCGATTACGCGATTAAATTAAACGTAGCAATTGTGCAAATACAAGAGCATATAAAGTTGTGAAACGTCTGAGGAGAGAGATAAATATAAAACACGACATAAGCTTATTTTTCTGATCGTGATAAAAAAAATCAAGAGCACGTACTTATTTCTCGCTGGATATTTCGTAATCAAGGCGGACGTAAAATAGCAATTATACGTAACATGGATTTGCACAACTCATGATAGGCGTGACACTCCGTCTCAAGCTGACAAAGAAGCGAGAGCACGCACAAAAAAAAAAAATTATTATTGCTGGAGGTATATTTCTCTATTATAATTAAAAAAACTCATAGCTAAAAATTTAGGTAGCCCTCTATTATATCTGAAATTTAATTATTATATCTAAATAATAGTATTTTTAAGCTATAATTTAATAGGGAATTCCCGTTACATTATAATTAAAAATATTAGTTACCCTAGAAATAAAATTTAAACAGTAACTAAAAATTTTAGAAATAATATAAACTTAACTTATAAAATTTAACTATGGTAGTTAATATTTTTTTTCCGAGCCGCGTGTGGGTTTACATGCATTGTCGGTGACGTTTCTTCCTCGTTTCACTAATATGTGTCATGAGTAAGTGTCGGATCTCCACGAAAAAAAGTGCGACACGCCATGCGACTAATTAATAATGTGTGCGAATTAGTGTCAAGACCGCTTTTGATGAATAACACGAAAGCACGATTATATAAAGCATATGATAATTTTTGTTTAATTTTATATTTTATTAAATGACGAGAAAATTATAAATAGCAACAAAAATGCTAGATGTATAAAGGAAAATATCCTTAAGATAAAAATCTTATTGATTAGGTCTACAAATAAAAATTAAGGAATATTAAAAAAAAATGATTTTTTCAGAGATATGAACGAAATATCGTTTTATTTCATCAATGAGTCGTACAAAATTAAAACAAAGAAATAACGAAAAATTAATAATAAATTAATAATAAATGAAAATTAGAAAAAATAATTTTTTAAAATATTTAAATTCACGTCGATTAAAAAAATAAAAAAATTAATGAATATTAAAAGAAAATGATTTTTCAGAGATATAAAAAAAATATCGTTTTACTTCATTAATGAGTCGTACAAAAATTAAAACAATGAAATAACAAAAAATCAATGATAAATTAATAATAAATGTAAATTAAAAGAAGATAATTTTTTAAAATATTAAAATTCACGTTTCTTATGCATCTTTTTCTTCTTCTACTCTTTTAAACCAATATGTTCGACATGAAGATATCGAAACAAATGATAATAGAGATCGATACTCTTCGTTCCTCGAGCGGATATTTCGTCGCATCCGAACGCAGGTGGTTACATAGATTGCATTGTGCGGTTCAGTGCGCAATTTTCCACGACTTTCGAGAACACGACTCCTCTTGCGACCGGCTTGGCAAGTGACGCGCACCCCGTGGAATGCGAACGATATCGCCGCAACGAATCGTCACGAGCGATGCAACGCGACGTTACCGCGAAACCGCCGACGTCGACGTTGCAAATGCGAAAGAGTAGCCGAAGAATCTTGCAAACGTTTATCGCGCGGATTCGCGATCCTCGTCCGCCTCGAATTTCTCGCGTATAGTCTCGGTGTCCACCTTTCTCGGTAATGCAAATCATCCAAAAAGGATAATTAAAAATCATATAAAAATATCAAAAAAATATATTAAAAAATCATTTATAAAAATTAATTAAAAATATTTTAAATGTTTTTTTTTTAATATTTTAGAATAAATTTGAACCCATTATTAAATAATAACATAAATAAAAATAAGAAAGAGAAGACATGAGAAAGAAATAAAAAAATATTAAAATTTAAAAATTAAAATTCATAAAAAAAAAAATAAAATGTTTCGAATAATAAATTAGAGGCTATTATTAAATAAAATAATGTCCACCTTACTCGGTGATGAAAATCATCCAAAAAGCCCGCAGATTAATTACAGGATGTTCAAAAGTCATATAAAAATATCAAAAGAATAAATTAAAAAGCATTTATAAAAACAAATTAAAAATACTTAATTTAAATGTTTTTTTAAAAATATTTTAGAATAAATTTAAACCCATAAATAAATGAGAACCCATTATTAAATAATAACATAAATAAAAATAAACAAAAATAAGAAAGAAATAAAAAAATATTAAAATTCGAAAATTAAAATTCATTAAAAATAAAATAAAAAAAATTATTATTAGAGAGAAGGAAAGAAAATAATCTTTGGGAATATCCTGGCGAAAAAATCGAGAGGCGCGGTGAATGAAAATGAAAACCGGTGCGTGCGCATTGCACTTTCCACGCAAGATGCAGCAAATCGATGCATATTGCTGCAGATCGGGGGATACCGTTATGGCAACGCCACGCGAGCGTATCGTGACTTGGTCGTGACTCGTAAACACCTCGACCGGGATCAACCTCTCTCTGCACTACAACCGCGGCCATTCACGTTCGAAAGAGATGGAAACGCGTAAGTTACGGCTTTTCGAGATGCAAGCATTTTTTTTCATATACCTCTTCATCGATCGCTTTCGACGACGAAGACTGGCGATGAAAAAGAGAAACATTTAGGCAAACAAGTAGAAATTATTTAACACGTGTTTGTGATGTGGATGAAAAATAAATTTGTGAAAATATTATTGAACAATTAATATTGTTTTTAATAAATAGGATTGAATTTAAATAAAGAAACATTTCAAGTTTATTTTTTGTAAACAAGCTTCAAGAATATAAAAGTTTGTGATTTTGAATTAAATTTATCTTGGAAATTAAGATTTATTGCAGAATAAAAATCCATAAGAAATATCCTCATTTTTTTTCAACAATAAGAAAACAATAATTATATAATTTTTTCCTCAATTATAGACTTAATAAGAATGTTTATCTCATTCCTCGTGCTGCTTCTTATTAAATCAAAATATCACGTGCAAATACACTGCAATTAAAAATTAAGTCACCAGAATTAATAAACAGAAATTAATTAACAAATTAATGAACCTAAATAAAAAAAATCAATAGCTGACGTTTTTCAATTAAACTTTCGTATTCTCTTGAAAGGAACAGAATTGAATTCTCTTTTCGTTGTATTATTCATAAAACATTCCGTCATTTTTCATGACGATAAGACTTTAGAGCTCTCTTGTCGTTTATCTTGTTTATACAATGGCAAAAAGATTTGTACAGTTCGTCTTGACAAGAAGAAATACACGTTCAAACGTATCGATCTCCTTTTACTATATGACAAGGGATGGAGAAGAACGAGGAAATAGAGAAGATTGG